GTCTTCAGCTGCTACTCCCTGGTGAACGCCTTCCAGTGGATCCAGTACAGCATCCTCAGCAACGTCTTCGCCGGCTTCTACGGCGTCTCCTTCACGCAGATAGACTGGCTCTCCATGGTCTACATGGTGGCCTACGTGCCGCTCATCCTGCCCGCCACCTGGCTGCTGGACGCCCGGGGCCTGCGGCTCACCGCCCTGCTGGGAGCCGGCCTCAACGGCCTGGGCGCCTGGCTGAAGTGTGCCAGCCTGGCCCCCGACCGCTACCCCGTCACCTTGGCCGCCCAGGCCGTCTGCGCCGTGGCCCAGGTCTTCATCTTGGGGCTGCCCTCCCGTATTGCCTCCGTCTGGTTCGGCCCCACTGAGGTCTCCACCGCCTGCGCCGTGGCCGTGCTGGGCAACCAGGTAAGGGTGGGTGGGGATGGGGGGGCAAGGGAGGCTTCGGGGAAGTGAGCTTCTTGAGAGCTTGGCGTGGCGTCGATTTACAAATAAGTTGCTCTGAGTGAGAAAACCCATTCCCCAAGAAACGATCTTGGAGAGAGGGAAAGTGATGGAGAGGGGACAAGCACTGAGGTGATGTTACATCCCACCCTCCCTGGCCAGCCTGGCTTGGCAGGACCCTGGCTGCGTGGCAGTGTCTAGCAGCTTGTACGCTTCTGCCAGCTGCCTGGCGTGCATCAGTCAAGACCCTTTTCAGAAGCTCTCCTGCTCCTCTTTCTCTTCCTCTTGCGTTTGGCATCGTTCATCTTCCTGAATCTGCCCTCAGCTGGAGGGTGGTGAAGTACCTAAACTTTCATGGAGAGCCCCCGCACCAACATACGTTATTAGTTCCTGCTTTTTTATGGCCTTGAATCCCTAAGTGCCAGTACTCGATGTCCTGGTGACTCATGAAGTTTTCTGTAATGCTATGGTAGTTCACATCACTGTGGGGAGCTAACTGATAACTGAGTCATGGCTTTCCTTGAGCTCCCTGGTCCTGGTGGGTTTCAGAGAGCTGGAACAAGCGATTCTGAAAGCAGAGGTGAAGATATGATGCTGATGGGTTTTTTTTTTCCTCTCATAGCCTTGTTCTCACCCCTGGCCACTGTCCCTGCTTTTCTGTGGAAACAGAATGTTAAGATTCCCATTAACATCACTGGTGCAGGCTAAGGTCATAGGTACAGTTTAATTAAGGTAACGAGGGCTTTAGTTTTCTTCATGTGAGTCTAGTAATTTTATGTTTGTGCACTTTGGATTATTACAGCGGTAATAGTAGTGTTACATATTTACAGTTAGAGTTGCTCATTAGCTCATACCTGGCTGTGTACAGTTTTCCTAATGCTTTTCCAAAACAATTTTTTTTTTGGCACTGAAGTCTTCCAGTGGATAAGTCAGCTGTCCCTTTTGAACTGAAGACTTTGGGAGTTGTTAGTTGATTATTTTAGCAGTTGAGCAAAAATTTTGCATCAGCATCATGGAATCAGGTTAAAGGTTTCTTTGGCAACTAAATTTCTGCTCTTCCTGACGTGCAGCAGGTCCTCCCTGGTAGCAAGGAGTTACTGGGGGTTGAGTTTGGCAGTACAGTGCCAAGGATCCAACTTGGAGTCTGAAACTGATGCTTCGCTTGGATGCTGAGATGTAGGTGTTGAAGTGGAGCAGGACAGGAGCAGGAGTGCAGGGATTGTGCGGACAGGAACCATGGGAAAGGCAGACAAGGAAAACGGGAGCAGAGGTGTGAACAAAATAAACCTGAGTTATTTCTGGACCATATTCCCCTCCAGAAGCTAGGACTGAGTTTAGCGTGCCGATGTGCTTGGTGGTCTTCTGCCAGGGAAACACCTATGAAAGTCACTGACCATGTATTTTTGTCTCCTCCTGGCAGTCCTGCCCAAAGGATAATGGCTTGTTCTGCAGCTATGCTGTACCCTGCCAGCTCAGAGCAGTGTGCTACAGAAGTCTTAAGATCCCAGTCCTGCTGATATGTTGTCAAACAATAGAATTTCTCTGGTCTCAGTTTTTGCTTTCTTAAAAAAACCCAACCAACAAACCTCTCAAAAGCTAGCTTGAAAGAGTAGTGGGATGACAAATTAGGCAAGTAAATTAGAAGTAATGTCTGTATATCCCAATGCAGTTCATTCTGCATATGCATTGCCATACAACCTCACTATACTTCTTTAATTGCACAGAGTGAACTATGTAACAGAATCGGGTAGCTATAAACAACTGGGCTGTTCGTCACCTGATTTCTTATCAGATATTTTACATAACTGCAGAGCTACAGCAAACAGGGCTGGGGACTGCAGGGAGGAGAGGCACAGTTATCAAAAATCAGATCACACCTGTTATCTGTTAGAGGTGCTGATTGTTTGCAGTTGGATCACAAATCACAGGGAATGCAGCAATGTACCTGTCAAGAGTTGTTAGGAGTGCCAGGTTTCCACAAGTATTAAGCATCTTCAGCTGGGCACAGCAGACTCATTGGAACTCCCAATCCTTCTGACCTTAACCTCTGTAGATGTAAAAGGCGAAAAATGGTATCACTTGACTTTCTTGGAATATTGTGGGTACTGTATTGGCTCACATTGGGGGAGGAAAAAACATACCTTAAGAAAAAGAGTAGTTGTGTACTCAGTTCTTGTTTTTAGAGTTCACATGCTGAAGGGTTTGGATAAAAAGAGACAAATTCTTCAGGTGAGCACTGGATACTGTGTAAATCTGATGGTCTGTGGGGGGAAAAAAAAAGCAGCAAAACCCTCGTCGGGCATATGCACAAAGGGCGCTTTGTAAACGCATTGGCACACCTTTAACTTGAGTGCTTTCTAAGGGTTGGACTTGCTACTCTAACAGTCTTTGGTGCTCTTTTTTATTTTCTTTTTTTTAACCTGAAATAGATGCAGGGTTTCTTTAGTTTTAAAGTGTTAGAACTTTTTTCTTTTTAATGTAGTTTAGTTTTGGAGGAGTAGCAGAGATAAATTGCAGAGTAGTCCAAGACTGTTCCTTCATGTTTTCAAATGCTTTATGTATATATATACCCAAAATTTCAGTCCTTGTTTTTTGTCTCTTTTTAATATAGAATCAGTTATTATATTGGAATTGACTCCACATACAGAACCACTACTACTTTACTTTGTGATTTTTCTTTATTTCTTTAGCAGTAATTGCAGATGTAGCTTTTGGGTTTGTGTTTCTTAATAAGGATGCTCCTTTTCTCTTGCTCTTCTCTGCTCTATCAGTTCTGTAATAAACCTTGCACGTCAGTCTTTGCTACTCTCGTGGCAGGATTGTGACATCAAGTGGAGCATTTTGGTTGAGACAGAGAAGAGTGTTTCTACAAGAGTAGCTGGAGTCTCCTGTCATCTCTAGGCCCTCAGTTGCAGGATGACTGATACAAATTTATGTGCATGCACAGTATTTTCCTGTGAAAAATTCTTCTGCGAGACAACTTCCTTAATGCTTAGTTGTTAAATGTGTTATATAGTTAAGTGTAGGGTTGTAGTTCAGTTTAGAAATGAAAAGGTTAAAACCTGAGTTACTGAAGATCTGGTTGCGAAATGTCGTTGAGAGCAAATGGCTCAGAAGTATGATACTAAAGGAACACTTTTCCTTCATAGTTTTATTAATACTTATTATGATTAGGACATTAGGAAAAAATTTTTCACAGAAAGAGTGGTCAGACACTGGAATAGGCTTCCCAGGGAGGTGGTTGAGTCACCATCCTTGGATGTGTTTAAGAGTCGTTTAGATGTGGTGTTGGGGGATATGGTGTTGGGGAGAACTTTGTACCATAGGGTAGATGGTTGGACTCAATGCCAAGGGTCTTTTCCAACTTAGATGATTCTATGATGATATAAATTCTGAATTCTACCTGCTAAGGCTTTTAATTTCAGTTAATTTTTGTGTTCACAAGAAAATGTTTTGTTTGTTTGTTTGTTTTCTTGCTTTACAGCTTGGCACTGCAATTGGGTTTTTGTTGCCACCTGTTTTGGTTCCAAATACGCCTAATGATCTCGATCTAATGGCACATAACATCAGCATCATGTTCTATGGAACAGCGATAGTGTCCACGCTTTTGTTCTTCTTAACAGGAGTTGGTAAGTGTTCCATTCGTGTAATTTAAATGGTGACCATAGGGTGTGTTTACAACATCTCTCTTCAAGCATCTGACTTTGCTCCAAGTAGGCAATATTACACTTTCTCAGGTTCACTTGTGTTCAGCTTACCTGTTGTGCCAGGGTTAAGTGACAACCAGTGAACTGTGTGTCGCTCTTCACGTGGAACAACCCTTCCCGGGATATGCTTAGGCTTTTTGCTACATTATGGTACAATAAGATTTCTCTGTGTTACTCTTACAATTCAGATAGGAAGGTTTAGGCACATTGCAGATGAAGTCTGTATTTCACCATGTGTTGGTAGCAATCAGACATGACCATATAACGAGCGTATCCATTGTGGCTGTGACTTGATTCTTCCGTGAGGAGCATCTAGAATATTTTTTTATGGAAGTGTTATAAAGCACAAACTGAACTTGTGAAATTCATCAAACTGAAACACTTCAAAAAGAAAAAGCATCAGTCTGGTAAAGGCAAATCAAAATTAATTCCTCCTCCTTTTTCCCCAGTGTTTGAAGAAAAGCCGAAATACCCTCCTAGTCACTCTCAAGCAGTCCTGCAAACTATGCCTCCCGAGGATTATTCCTACAAGCAGTCCATTATAAATTTGTTCAGAAACATTCCATTTGTACTTTTGCTGATCAGTTATGGTAAGTGGTGCTGTCTGGCCGTAGTCTGGCAGAGCAGTTGAATGTGGGCTGAAAGCACATTGAGTTTTAGTTGTGGTGGCGGTTGTTTATGGGGGAGGGAATGTCAAATTTCTACGTGTTCAGCAGCCAGGGCTGGAAAAACTGACAGGATTCAAATACCATTTGTTGGTCTGGTGAAGAGATTTTACCTGGCAGATAAAAGGTTTTGCCTGTGATGTGAGTCTTAAATATGAGGAGATTAACTCTTTGAGGTGACAGATCTGCAGGGCTACACTTGGAATGACCGAAGCTTTTCTTTTGGTACTGCAGGTATTATGACTGGGGCATTTTATTCTGTCTCCACATTATTAAACCAGATGATAGTAACTCATTATGAGGTAAGTTTCTTGGACCTTCTTTGGGTTTTTTGTGTTAGTTTGTTTTTTGGTTTTTTTACTGTACATTTGCCGAGGTGATGTTTATTGTTATGTAGGTGCTATGTGCGCTCAGAGGTTTGGTTTCCTTTGTATCCCGCTACCATACAGCTATGGGAGTCATAGGAATGTTTGTTTGCACTTATAACTGCCAAGAGGTCTGAAATTGCCTCTGAGTGGAAGCAATTTATTAATGAGCACCATATAAATATTTGTTGAAAGGGAGAAGAAGTGAACGCTGGGAGAATTGGCTTGACACTGGTGGTGGCAGGAATGGTGGGTTCGATTATTTGTGGTTTGTGGCTGGATTACACTAAAACATACAAGTAAGTGTGGGTAGGCATGTGTGGGGCTAGGGGTAGGAGAGCAATTGCATTAGAGAAATACTGCAATGTAAGGGCTGAAGTGAACTGGTGATGCAGTTCATCCCTCATCTTTTAGCAGCCTTGATGGAGACTAATTTCTGAGGCTACAGCAAAAGCTTGAAACTCTTACTGGGTCTTGGCCAAAAGAAATGAGACAGGAGAATGCAAAGATGTGAAGGGGTTTTCTATCTGCTCCTATCTCTTCAGGAGTGAAAGGCTAACAAGGAAGGCTCTGTATATCCTACATACAGTGGCCAGGTGGCCCAGTGGGCTCCTTCACCTCGGAAAGCATAAAGGCTGAAAACCTACTGTGCATTGTTTTGTAAAATGGAGAGTTGATGGATTCCCATTTTTGGGTCTTTGTTTGTTTGTTTTTTCTCATACTACTCCTGATCCTGTTAGTAAGCATAACATTTGCTTTAATTCAGGGGATGAACTCTGTTCTGGGGTAGGAGCTCCCAGGTCCATCACCCGTGGTGTGGTGACCCCCAGGAGAGAGCAGTGCCCTGGAGTGCTGCTTGAGGTGGAGTTGTTCTCCCCTGTGACTCTTAGTACATTATGTGCAAGAACTCTAGAAACCTAATGGATGTTAATGCTGTAGATTGGCTTTGTTTCTGCATGCGTTTTGGCTTATTTATAAGTGATATGTGCTTTAATATTTTGGATGACATCCCTAATTCCAGATTTAAAATAAATAGAACATTGTAATAAGATTTGTTTGACTTGCCTCTTCGGCTTACTTTTACTGCTAATGGTGTTCGATTTGGCTGCTCACTTATTGCATTATGGTCAGCGCTGCAGAATGGCCAAGAGGTACAACGTAGTGGAGAACTAAAATAGCCTCAAGGTAATAGTATCTGCTGTGATTGTCCACTCTTTGAGAGCCTGAGTAAGTCTTGTTAGCCTTGAGTGAAGCAGCCGTATAATCAAAGCAATAAAGAGTTCGGGAAGGGATACGTTCTCATTGCATGATATGTTTGAGTTGGAATTACATGAAGCAAATCTTATAGAATGTCAGTTGTTAGAGAGTAAGTAAGGTTTATGTTAACTTGTCTATGCTTCAGCAATGTGCTATGATCTTATGTTAACAATGTTAATTTTTTTAATTTTTTTTTTGGTTGGGTTGCAGGCAAACTACTTTGATTGTTTACATTCTCTCTTTCATTGGGTTGCTGGTATTTACTTTCACCCTGGACCTCGGATACCTTATAGTAGTGTTCGTGACTGGAGGAGTACTTGGGTGAGCAATTAAAGAGGACTAGAAGACTTAACTGCACTTCTGTTCAGAAACAATATTTAACTGTTTTAACTAAATGATTCTACTGTATATTCTGTTGCTGTGCTTTCAACCTATGCTTGTAGCTTACGGTACAGATAGGGTTTACTTGGGTTTCACCTTGTGTTACATCAGAATAAATCCAAAGTAACTCACTTTTCAGTGAACTTTGTTTAACATTTTTATGGACCTAACAGAAATCTGTATGTGGTCAATTTGTTTGGTTCAAAAAGCTGTCTGCAGTAAAGTTGAATCTTTCTGTTGACCAGTGGATAAGTGATTAGAGTTTAATTGGGCAAATCTGTGAAGACTGGTTTCTGAGCATTTTGATTAATTTATATTTTGATAGCCCAAGTGATGTTATGGGTGCTTTGTTTGCTCAGAAGAGCATGAGCACTTCTCATAGATACATAATCTAAAAGGCGCTGAGGGAATAGTGCTGTATCCAGACACAGCAGTCAAGGAAGAGCTAGAAATGTCTTGAGAATTTCAGTTTAAAGACCAACCAACCAACCAATGTCAACTGCATTAAGCCCCTGCTCTTTCTGTCATCCATTGATCCCCTCAGCTTCTTCCACAGCAGCTTCTAGCAGCCATTCCAGCGTCCAGCCTCACTCCCTACTGATGGTCTCTTTTTGTCCTCCAGCACGGATGTTTGGGCTGATCAAATGCTGATGTTTGTGTATGTCTCTCATTGAAAGTAATTGGCTTCAAGGATGAAGTGGCTTGTGATCAGAGAAGGTTGTTTCATATGTATGGAGTGGAGTGCAGCTGGTTATGGGAAACGGGACAAATATATTTGTCCTAAAAAGAGAGATGTATGGCTAAAATTGTTGGGTGAGGTCAGGGGAATGTAGCAGGCAAAGCAAGTATTGAGTCATGTTAGGTCTTGTAAACAAACAGTTCAGAATACAAGCTAATTCATAATACCATGTGTTTATGTTTGATTTTCTGAGCTGTAGTAATAGATGAAGGCCACACCTGTCATCCTCTTACTCTCCTCTTCAACAGGTTCTTCATGACTGGCTATCTGCCACTTGGGTTTGAATTTGCTGTGGAAATTACATACCCAGAGTCTGAAGGCACTTCCTCGGGTCTCCTTAATGCATCAGCACAGGTTATATCATTTTATTTCTTCAAGTGAAGTAATGTTCAGGAAAGACACTGCTTGAATCTAAGGTGGCTTTCTTAGACTTGGCTGCTAAGTCTCTGGTGTGTTGCTGTAGTCTTAATTTTTTTTAATTTGGCTTGTATAAGATGCAACCTGAAACTTTGCAAAGTAAAGTGATGAGTCTTTTCTGTGTGATCCTGATGAAGTGGCTTGTTTGTTTCTAGATATTTGGAATTGTCTTTACACTTGTTCAAGGAAAACTTACAACAGACTATGGTCCTCGTGCAGGAAACCTCTTTCTTTGTGCTTGGATTTTTGTGGGCATTATCTTAACAGGTAATTAATCAGAAATGTAAGTAATTATTTCTCTTTAATGTAAAAATATGGAGGTTTTCTTTTTGAGATAGAGATCGAAAAGCTACCCCAAAATTCATGCAGACATCTAGGATCTGAACATGTGGCTTCCTCTCTGAACTTACAGAAGTTTAAGTACGGGATTTGGTTTTGGATTTTTTTTCTTTCTTTGTTTTTCACTTTAAATACTTGCTGTGCACACACCCTTTGATGATGATGCTGATGAATGGACAGACATCTGTGGCCCATTCTTGAGTCATGTCTTGAATTTGAGGCAGATACACTATACTACTCTGGAGATAGACATGTAAACAAATACGTAAATGGAGACAGTTTGCAGTTTTCCAAATACAGGAAACTGCTGATGTATTCCTGAACTTTACCAGTGACTTCCACATGCTAGTACTTACAAATGTGCTGAAAGTACTAAAACCAAGCTTTGCTTTAAGTACTTATGGTTTAAAAGCTCTTATTGTCATTGTCCACGTGTGCTTTGTGAGGAGCAATTTCAAATTGTCAGTAAGTTCAAATTGCAAAAGAGTGAATAGAGGTATTTTGAATATGTGCTGAAAGCAGCTTCTCTGTGCTTGCACTGTACAAACATTTCCCTTGAAATGCATGTCATTGCAAAGTTGTGAACCAGCTTTCTCATTATTGTTTTTTTGTTTCAGCCTTAATAAAATCAGATTTGCGAAGACACAATGTGAATTCAGGGATTATGAATTTGGATGTTAAAGCTGTAAGTGGTGACTCTTTTATCGTGATTATATTAGCATACTTGAATGCTTGGCTTTTCTTGGCATAATAATATTAACAGCAAACGAGTAATTGACAAAAGTTTATTATATGGCTGTTTCCTTGCTGATTTGGAACATGGGATGCTGCCCTCGGATGTCTGTTTCTCCCCTTAGCTCCCATGAAAAAAAATAAAAGACCTGCTCTCTGATTTTCCTGAATTTTAAGTGGTTAATATTAATCTCTGATTTTATTGCTTGAATCTTGCTTTTTTGTATTTTCAGGTAGCCTTGTAAATTGTGAAACCTTTTTGTGTATTGGGTTAGGAGGCTGTGCTACAGATACATATTTTATTTAAAATACTTGCAGTCCCTTTAGGTGAGGTGAGGGTCTGATGAACAGAAGTCACACTGCAGTTTCTGTACTGTACTGCATGGAGAGCTGGGTCTGTTCTTCTGCTGAGCAGCTTCTCAATTTAAATGAAGGGTGAGCATAGCACTTTATGCTGTTCAGGAGGTCTGAAGACCATGTTTCAGCAGCTTTTCCAATTAACACAGTTACTAGTAGAGATAAGGCCGTTGTCAGAAACTTTTTTTCAGTGCTTGATCATTTGGATCAAGATAATGAAGCAGCTTTTTGGAGTCAGTGCAAGATCCTCTCTTGTGCTTCTTTTTCTGTGTAGGTGTCTCGCATATATAGCAGCTTTTGATCATCCTGGTGCACGCTGTTAGTGTCTGCACAAGGTTCAGAAACTGCCAAGCTGGTGCTCTCTGAGCTAACTTGAATCTGAAACCTGTGCAGCCGTGTGTGCACAGTGTGGTGTCCTGTGGGTCTGCCAGCCTGGGTCGGGGCTGTCTCGGGGCTGTACATGCTGACTGGAGGCAGTGGTCTGTGACTTGTCTGTTTTCCGTTGTCACCTTGTTAATTAGCTTAGATAGTCACAGAACTTTATTTATATTAGCCAGGATATAACAAAAGCCTGGCATCCTCACCCTGATATTACTGTAAATAATTGAGAGCTGCCTGTGTTAATAAGGTACTATAGCACTTTTGATCATCAAGGTTTGGTATGAGTTTCTACTGTGTTTAATGTAACGGAGAAAACACCTCAAAGTTAATCTTGTGATAAATATCTATATGCAGTAAATATATACTTTACAGTTATACTAAAAAAGTCAGTTCTGTGGGTTTTGGGTTTTCATTTCATTAGAGAGAGAAGTGAAAATAGGGCTTTCTATAAATGCCTAATTTGGCTAACTAACTACATACACTATTGGAGTCTAACTTAATAATTACCCAAGAATACTAAGATTGGGAATAGCTTCTGCTGAATAACAGTTTAATTCCTCCTTTGTTTTTTTCCCCCCTCTGCAGGTACCAGTTGACAGTCCTGTAGAACCTGAAAGTACTACATTAAAAATTCAGTCAGCTTTATGAAGCTGAAAGAAGGTGACTTAGAAACGCACAAGTTTGGTTGGATACTGAACAATATTAATTAGTGTAATCACTGGGTTTGTGTGTATGAGTAGTAAAACGTGTTTGGTGATATTGGTGATAGTTGTGCGATGGAAACTATGAAGATGCTCAGTTCGTTTTGCCCAAGACGCAAACAATTTACCTCTGTATGGAATATTTATTTTAACAGTTTCCAAGTTTTGCAGTTTCATTGGTAAAGAACTGTGTGAATACTCTCCATGTTAGGGAGACATGTACATTAAGGATGCATACTTGAAAAAATCTGGAATCCTGAAGTACAGTCGTCATGATCAGAAGTATCAGAATTTTTTTTCTTGTTCAGTCTTTGCTAGTGCATTTGGGAAGTTAGAAAGTAGGTAGCTGCACAGCTGGAGGATGTTCAGAAGTTCTTTTTTTTAAAATTTTATCTGTATTTTTAATATAAGCTTCTGGGAAACTGTCTATAGCACAATACTGAAAACAAGAGATGACTGCAAACATGTGTTTCATACTGGCATCTGACATTTCTTTTGCCTTGAAACTTCTTGATAGATATCAGAAGGCGGATAAGAGAAAACACTGTCTTACAGATTCATTGTAACATTTCCAGGGAGATTTAAAGACTTTCCCACTGAATAAATTGGAAAAAAACCCAACCCAACACTTCTTATTAAACACAGTCAAAAGGAGGAGAAAGGCCTTTGATATCTCTACCGGGAAGTAATTGCAGGCAATGGAACACTACCACACAGGTTGCCTCCACGGAATCTTTCGAGTGCTTTCTCAGTTAAAGTGAGAGGAGTTATGTGTTTACAAAGAGCTGGTGCCTTTACTTTGTAAAGAAGATCCTTGCCTCATCTTGAGTTTAATCAGTGCTGCTGAAGAAATTCCGGTTTTGTGTGTTAAACCTCCTCTGAATATTTGTGGAGTATCAGAAAATGTGTTCTTCTTTTGCATTTATTTCTCTGTGTTATGAATTGTATCACTTGTCTCGTGAAATTTTTGTGTTCATATAACTTAAATCATGTCTTTCACAGTTTGTTAAAAGTTGTAAGAATGACTGAAAGGAAAATAGTGATATTTCACTTCGCTGTTTATATCATGCATCTTAGCTAGAAAAGGAGCAGACTTCATTAACGTTCACCTTGTGTTATTACGTTTATCTAAATTTGGGATGTGGATTTCTCACTGCAGTGCTTCTGAAAATATTCTACTTGCCCTTGTGCTCTATCTACACATTTAAAGAGTTGACAGCACTACAGTAATACTGAGGCCCTACTATTACAGAAAAAGCCAGACCTGAGTTAGCAGACTTTTTGCACGCAGTTAAGCGTTAGCAGTCTTTAAGCTGAGCCTGCAGGTTCAGTACTGTCAGTGATGGCATTTCTTTGAGTTCCCACAGATGTAGTGCCATCCAGGAGGAGGAATCCTGCTTGAAGTTTTCCATGGATTATTACAATTGGGTATGGGGAACTTTTTAACTCCAAGATAGTCTTTCAGTATGATGAGTGTTGTTAAATGCTTTTCTTTTTCTTTTCTTTTTCTTTCACTGTAGATTTAGAGAATCCTTTTGTATAAAAGAACCCTATAAACTTAGCTGTCTAATCTTAGCCTCTGAACTTGATGATCTGGATTTAATGTTTTCAATGGAAAATGCTTCAGATGTGGGAAGACTGAATGACGATATGCCTACCAGAATAAGCTAAGCATGCTTGGAACACCCACCTTGCCAGAAAGGGTCCGTATCTCATTGCCAGGTCCAGTGCTAGAGGGGTGAGCTCTGCAAGAAGAGTGCTCTGGTGAAGTAGGAAAAGTAACTCATAGATATTCAAATGGCAGGCAAGAGTATAGGAGCAGAAATAGAGATGGTTTCGTTATGTCAGTTCTTTACATTTAATGACTTGCTGTGATAGAAGCTGGCCCATCAAGGGATGTACATGTTTTCAGCCTGAGTGAGCAACGAGGAAGTTTCTGCCTTTTGGTATCTGTGCATGGCTTTTCCCTTTGCAAAAATGGTAATAATGTGTGGCAAAATATGTATGTTCTTCAGCAAGATGCAGATTCAGTGAGTATTTGCGTTCATGGCCCTTGGTTGCATTGTACTTCTGCTGTTGCAAAATCTTAACAAGATAATATTATTGCAGTTTTGGGAAGTGTTTTCAAATGTCCAGTAGAAAGTCTTTGGCAGTACCCAGAATGCTTTCTGAGACATCCAGTACACACTGTTCAAATACAAAGATTGAGTTTTTTTCTTTCTTCTTAGAACTTACTTTTTAATTCTTTCCTTCACTACTATTTTCCAGTTTCTTTAGTTATATTCAGCTGATTATTCTAGCCCTTCTGGCTCGTTGTGTTTTTTATCTTCTGCCAAATTACTTGGCTACCCTCTGAAAAGGTCCAAACAAGATTTTGACATGCTGGAAACCCAGCTGGGTCCCTGAAAAGAAAATATTCCTGATAATGAAGGCTTTATTACATCCTGGATTTAATGCTCCCCTCCTAAAAGGAGCTAGAAATTTGGAAACTATATCGAGCTATTTCCAGGCTACGATAAAGTATTTAAGTAAAAGGCTCAGCAGCAAAATAAAGAGCAAACCTGTAGTTTATGCAATAATCTTATCTGCCTGTCAAGAGACTGAGGTTCTGTCTCATGGCAGAAGTTGGGGTAGTTGGGGCTCTAGTGTTTTTTAATTTAAATTTTGTTTTTAAACAAACAATGTCCACCCAATCAAACAATTCCATCTGGAATTGGAAATAGGGTTTCTGACTCTCATAGCCTTGAGGTTCTAGCTCAGCCCTCCAGTAAGAGCAGAGGTGGGGTCTAAAAAGCATAACTGCTTGAAGAGGTAATCATTCAATGTCAACTATCAGAGGATGCAGTAGGAAACCGAGTGAGGAGAGACATCCCAGTCCTGTGCATCAGCTTTTGCTGTTCAATATGCTTTTCTTTTAAGTGCTTCAAGAGAACTCTAGAGGATGCAAGGGAACTCATGTAATGGTGAACATAAGCAAGGGGGCTGCCCCCAAGCTCCCAGGGGCCCACCGGGGTGTGTAATTGCCAACTTTTAGCTAGAAGATTCAGAGATTAACCTTTAAAATAACTATCTTTCTTTGTTTCTTTCAGACTTTTTTAAACTTCTGCTAACTTCACCAGGAGACACCCAGAGAACATTGACCCATTTTTATTTAGGATTCCTAACATGGCCTTAAAACCCTCATTTCTGTTTTCTGGGTGTGAAAATACCAGATCTATAAGGTATAATCTGAATTGTTGCAATTGGGAGCTCTTTTCTTCAGCTTGGTAGATAAGTCCTTCAGAGCACTTATTTTGTAGATAAGTGCTTGTCTTTAATAATACCTCTTTCTGTTGCTGAATGCTCATGTTCTACGAGGAAGAAAGAACAAAGGAAGAAGTGGGACAATGCTTATGAATTATTTCAGGTTAATAGGGCTCTTCTAACTTCATCCTCTTGGTCATCTCTTTTGTTCAAGGCAGTCTGTTGTTTCAGAGACAATCACTGAAGTGTGTAATTAGAGCTGCCAGCCCGTGTTGCCTAATGAAAAAATGCTTTTTGAGAAATCTTTAGACTATCTTGTGCATCTACAACCAAATGAAATTGGGTTAAGCTATAAGCATTTACAGCTTTCATTTTTCCATTCTGCGAACTCTTTGAGTTTTCCTGTGTGAATGGGAACGTGTGACCTTTTCGGTTCCTGTCTTTCAATATGTGTACGTAGCATGTTCTTAAGTGTTATAGGCTACTAATGATTCATAAACCACAAGCGAAGTTATTGTATCCCATGTGATTTCCCCACCACCACCATTTGACCTGAAGTCTGTGAAGAGGGAGAAGTGATGTTAATGCATGAACTAGAACGAATTAAGCAAAAAAATATTCCTAAGAGAAATGTATTTCCACGTAGCACCCATGTAATTTACTGCTTTTGTCTTTGTTCTTCTCATGAAGATAGAAAATATTTTTGCTGTAATATTTCAGTTCTGTTAGTGTCTCATTCTTTGTTTCAAGAAAAAATTAAAAGTTCCATATGAATATTCTCTGATTGCAATATTGTACGTATGTGTATATGTGGGTGGCATCATTCCTTACTATTATATGTTAGTAATAAAGTGTGTAACATGTAACTTGATTGGAGCCAAGATTACCATTTTTGACAGCTGCTGATACAGCTGATGGTCTAAAAATTATTCATTTTTTTTTCCTTAGAAGCTGCCATTTAATGTAGGAAAATTTTATAAGTGAATGATGTAGTGTGTCATTAACAAACTTGCATGCACACATATATGCAGAGTGCATGTATGCTGGGTATATAAATGCATTTTACACAAGAGTATTGGCTTACAGAGAAATTGTCTCAGGGCGTGGAATTGAAGTATTAGCACCAGTAGTTGAGTTGCACTGCTCTAACACAGTGATTTCCCTTCGTTTGCTTTGGAAAAGATCTGTGAGGAAAAGAAAGTGCCGTTCACCCCTAAAGCAGAGCAATCCGCAGGCAGTTCCTTAAGGGTAGTTCAAATATTATTTTAACAAAGCACTCAGCTTTAGAGAGATCATCTGGGGAGAGAGACTTGAATAACTTCTTAGAGAGGGTAGAGTGTGCCACTCAGTTATGGCGCAACTTTTGTTTCTAAAACCAGAATTGTCTTCAGTGGGAGCACAATAGGATCCTTGTGAACACTCTGCAAAGGTTCTGTCACTTGCTCTCAAGTGTTTAGCCCAGCACATCAGCTGTGAGCCAGGTAAGTTTGAGGAACCTCCCTCAAAGAAATTAGAATGTTTGGGTTTGGGTGGTGGTGGTTGTTGTTGTTTTGTTGGTGGTTTTTGTTTTCTGTTTGGTTTTGGGGTTTTTTTTTGTTTATTTTTTAAGTCCTGGTTTTGTGGAGGAGATTATTTCAGCTATTTTTATGTAAGAGATTCTTCACAGAAGGAGGTTGCAGGTGCTGCAAAGCACAGAAAACACAAGGCTTTTGTCATAAACGAGTGCTCACATCCAGTTCAAGGGTGGGCTGAACTTTCAGATGAGCTCTTCATTTTACAGCCAGGACTATAGGGTCATATTCCTCTTATAGTATCTCCATGAAAGCTGCAGGTTATATTTCCATTTAGAATCATAGGATGGTTTTGGTTGGAAGAGACCTTAAAAGGTCATCTAGTTCCAACCCCCCTGCCATGGGTCGGGACACCTCCCACTAGACCAGGTTGCTCAAATTAAGCATTGCAATTTAAACATTCGTACAGGACAAGGAACAATCACAGCAAATTATTATTGCCTTAACATTAAATTTTTTCTTTTTTTTTTCCAGATGCTCAGTCTTTCTTGAAACAAAACACCAGAAACCTCATCAGGTAAGTGGGAGATGTGTAGCCATCCTGACTATGATTAGACAGATTCTATAGTTGGGAGGAGATCCCATGTACCCAAAGCTAACAGGTGCTACCCCTTCCAGAAAGGGATGCAGTTTGTGCATGGATAAAACAGGCAGGTGCCTAACAGTCCAGCTGCTCCCTAGGCTGGAAAGGTTTCTTAGGAGCTTGCTAGATTTCCTTCTGGCTGTGCTTCACAATGACCTAACCTTATCTGACCATGTTCTAAATCAATATTTATATTTTCAATTAAACAACATCTTTCAGAAGACGAAACAATAATATCCTGAACTTTGTAGAAAGAACATGTTCAGCAGATATGTCACAGTAAAATGTACTGGCAATAGTTAGGCATAGTTACCGATTCGGGAGTAACTATATATATATATATATATTTGTGAGTAACTGGCTTATATCTGTGTAATATCAAATGTGGTTAAAATTCAGCCTCTAGGGCGTCAACTTCCAGTGTTTTCTCAATAAACTGCTACTGCTTGTAACAATGTTTGGGCCATTAAAAAAAGATTGTAAATAGTATCTAAAGGTCATTGTCAGCATTGAGACTTCGCATTACAAGTTCTAGAAACAGATAACAAAACCCTACAAAAGCTATAAACTAGCTTTTTGGTTAAAGATGGTTAAAGGTGCCTTGTGTGAGCCCAGAAGTGCTGTCACTGTGGCTGTAGCTCAGCGGGTTGGAGTCCAGCAGCTTTGTAGATGAGGCAGTGAATATGCATCCTTATGAGCCAATTTTTGGAAAACGGGAAGGTGTAATTAGAAGCTACCTTTTTCCATGCCTGAGTGACTTCGGTTTATGATGTCTCTTTTATTACTGTAATGATAATTTCTTACTGTTTCATCTCTCTTTATATTTTACATGTGCTCGTATGTGCATCCTGAAAAAATATCTTGTAAAAGCCACGTGAAAAAGAGTCTCAGATGAGACTCGGTCAGTTGAGTAAAATATCATTGGCATTATTGGACATAGCAGCTGGAAAGAAATGCTTTGCCTGAATAAGAAGAGTAAACCTACTGAGAGAGAATGGGATATCTCAATGATAGTTTAGTTTTCTATCTAGATGTTCCTTAAAGGAGAAATTGGCTTTTACCCTAGAAAATTATTTTGAAAGTTTTTTTTCTTCAACTGACTTGTAGGACCAAAATTGATCTTTAGTCACGCGTCTGCTTGGCTTTCAAAAGCTAGGTAGGGAACTACTAAACCCAAGATCTTGGTGAGCAGCATGACTTAGGGACATCAGGGGCTAACTCTGGTTCTTAAAGCAGTGTGAAAGTTGCTGGGAAAAATCCCAGGGAAGTATTCAAGGCTTCAGAAGGTTTCCTAGCCTGCGCTAGGCTGAACCAGGAACTTCCCAATTTCTTTTTTCAGAATGGGGCAGTTCTAAGGTTTCACTAGTTTGGGTAAGGTAGAGGAGGGACTGCAGCTGAATGCATCATTAGTTATTCTTTTAGAAATCAAATTGTCCAGCCTGCTGCCAAGAGAAAAGGAAATTAAAATGTAACAATGCAATTTCTAAGCCTGTGCATACTGTTTTTTCCATTAATTCCTGGAAGGTAACTTGATTTCTTCAGAGTAATTAATCAGCTAATTCTGAGCAATCCCACAGGTGTTCGACAAAACCTACATCCTGTGTGGAATGAAGAGGCGTTATCCCACTAGGGTGAGAATGACTCGCCCCTGGATGATTAATTGGCTCCACAGGACTTGACTTTGTGTATCCTCTGCTCCCAAAGAACAACTAAAATTCACTTAGGTCCTAATGCGAAAAGACTGAAATTCAGTTAGAAGCCTACAGCCTAGAAATCCCATGATTTCTCATCTTGTCACTGCTCCACAGAAGCTTCAGGAAGGTAGAGGAGCCCTTGAATGCTCAGCAGCTCAACAAAGTTACCCGGAGCAGACTGTTACCGGGGGGATATGGAGGCCCATCACCTTTTGGGGAGCAGAGTGCCCCATGCTCGGTGTGATTTTCCTCTGACCTACTCCATCTGCTTAGGCTTGAGCTGTAAGAAACCCCTGAGGGTTTAAATGTCTGTGTGAGTGAGGAGGACAGGGAGCATTATGGGGCCTCCTTGAAGTCTGCAGTTTGTATGATCACATTTAGGATGTTCCTGGTTTTGATTTCAAAGTTGGAAAATGCTCCATAGGCTTCTTGAGTTTGCTACTTACCTCTGAAAATGAGTATCATTCATGGGATGGTAAATAATGAAAATGACTGAAAAAAAAATCATTTTGCTCCAGATGACTGTAGTTCCTTTAAGAGCTCTAAGTTTTTTAATTGACCACAATATTTGAACTTTACTTTCACGTTCAAGCGTTTCTGCGGTGTTTTGACTAGTGTTCAGTCGTTCTCTAGAGAGGGGGGATCTTAATCTGCAGAGCACTGCCTTCTAGGGATGCTTGAAGCGATGCTTCAGATCAAAAGCTGTTTGATGAAATCGTCAGTGTCATAATGATATCTTGTCATACCATGGCATTGACAACCGTGAATCACGCGTTTCTCTCTTTGCAAGTTTCACACAGCACCTAAATTGAAGGGCTTGTGGTGTCTGGGCTTGTGACATATTCTATTGCTAAACTTAATACTTTTTTCAGTCCACTGTCAAGTACTGCCTGCAAAGACAGGGCATTTGAGGAACTTTAATACATAGGGATGATGTTTGTTCAGAGCCTTTCCTAACTGGTGTCATACTATTCCTAGAGGGCACAGGGTATGCCATAACAGAACTGTGTTGCTTAATCGATTTCTAACCAGCACCAACAATTGTGCTGCTAATCTTAAGCTGGCAGGGGTTTTATTGCAGTACACTCTCTCCCTGCAGGTGGGGATGACTCAGGTGCTCACTTGGCAGTGGAGGGAAGTCCTGAATCTCAAGACCTTTTGGTGCCACCGCAGCTCCCCTGTGATAAGGGCTGCGGGTGCTGACGACTGCTGAAAAGAGATCTTGTTTCTAGAAACAGATTATTTTTAGCCACTGCCTTTCTTTATTACCTGTACTTTTATTATGCAGTTCCCCTGAAAAAAAAAGTGATTGTGCTGGATAGTTTACCCTCTGGCTAAAGGTTAAAGAAGAAGTAATGAGTCCAAAAAAAAGATGGATTGCCAAGATTTATGGAAGGTTACATTAGTGTTCCCTTGTTTTTATAAGTAGAGCTTGCTGCAGAGACCAAATCATGTGATATGCTGGTAAGAAAGACCTTTGCAGCAAATTGTATTGATGTAATTATTTCCCCAAGCTACAGCAATATTTGAGACTGAAACTTTGGAACAAGACAGAGACTAAAGCAGGTTAATAGGGACATTGATGTTGTACCACTCAGAAGCAACCGATTCATCAGTGTCTGATGCTGTTAGTTGTAGATGGGAGTGAGGTGACTATAGTAAATAAGGAAGAGGAATGGATATTTCACTGTCAGCAAAAGCTCAGGCCAAGTAGGACATGCTGACCTGCAATGGGGCTGGAAAGAGAAAACTTACAAACCAGTTCTGGGAAGGGCCTGATTTATAGGTTTTTCCTGTCACTTTGATATATTTTTTTCTTTTAATGCTGGCAATCTTGCCTGTTGGATTAGGCTGAGATCAACTGGAGCCCAGTTAAACAAAGCCATCTAAAATAAACACTGTAATGATTTGCTGCAGTAGAATTACTGCAGGATGTCCTGGACTTGCTCAGGCAGAAATCAAAAGATAGTGCTGATGTTCTTCATTGCTAAAGGCAAAGCAGCTGATGGCTGTTTTTTCTGCTAAACCATTGTGAAATAACTAGTGTGTTGAGAGTTTCCAGAAAGGGCTACCTTGGGGAAAGCTCCAGGGAAGCACACCCTCAAGCATTCTTTTTATAGCCCTTTTTTTGTGTGTGCTTTACATATTTATTTTCCCAATGATAAAATTGATGAATACATAAAGTTGTGGTTCTTCGAGATTACGCAAATCACTCCTGCAAACTTGCATCAACAGCCATTCCCATATTACCATGGTTACATCCTTATCACAGTTTAACCTTGCATTTCATTACCAAACGAATCCCATTCCAGCATGACTTCCAGTTTAGGGAAAAGTCCCAATCAAACAAGTTTTATGTTCGTTTTCAAGGATCAAATGAGGTCACCGTGGTCCTTTTAGGAAAGGGGCTAATGTTTGCATAGCAATAATGCAGTTCACTTAGGGCAGGCAAACATTCTCAACCTGTGTTTTCCTGCTTCCCTTCTGCAAAGCTGAAGCAACTTTGTAGTGTTAACCATTTCAGACTGCTGCTGCTTTTCTGGACATAACAGTGGTTCCTAAATTCAGAAAAGGCCATTAAGATTGCTTGGCCTGGATTTAGGCAGAACAGTGTGCCCAAGTTGGGGACAATAGTAAGGTACTCAGGCTTCATGCTTTTGCACTGACTGCTGCCGGCTGGAGGTACTGGACATATTTCCTGCTCCACCAGTAACCAACCTGCCTCTTGTATGCTCAGTGCTGGTACAGGGACCTTCAGTGAGTGGAGAGCACTTAGCACCTGCTTTTGCTGACCTGGGTAACAGCACTGGTCCAGATCTATCATGCTGCCACTGTTTTGCACCTATCTGATAGAAAGAAGGAGGAAAAGATAAGCTGTCAAGCTTTTTGCTCAGGTGCTGTAAGACCATTCCTTGGCTATTGCTTCCTGGCCCCCCTTGGACAGCAGCACATTTGAGCCCCCCTTCTTGCAGAAAAGCAAACCTCAGCTGTTCCCAGGGGGGCTGGAACAAGGTGAGCAGCATCTCCTGCCCCTGCTGAGTGGGCTGCTGGGCCAGCTCCCTGCTGCTTGCCTGCAGAAGCACCAAAGCAAATGGGCTGGGAGCAGCTTTGTGGCATGACTGTGGCACTGAGAAGGGCGCCGGTGTGGGTTGGGACCAGGGGAACCGCCACACAGCCTGGGACAGAGAGGTTGGGAGACTGGGCTGTACAGACAGGGGTGGCCAGGCAGGGCAGGGGCAGTCTGCCAACCAGCCCATCTCTTGCTGCTGGTCTTGCTCCGCCTCTGGGTTTGGTGCTTTACTTGTGTGCCCTGGCAGCCAGAGTGGCATTCCCATTCACAGTGAGGGGTATTTTAACAGGGATCTGTTAGCTGAGTTGGGGCAAGGCCTTACTAAGATCTTACAAAAGGCTGGAACTGCGCTGGCAGAGGACCTGCGGAGCAGAAAACCACTAAATTTCAAAACAACGGAATAGGAGCATGGGCAGTGCATGAGACCTCACGGGCACTCATCACACCAGTGGTCCATTCCCCAGCAAAGCCAGCTGGTCCTTCTCTACTCTGACTGTAGTTCCGGGCCCTGTGACTGGGTCAGGCTGGAGCTGCTGACCAGGGAAACTTTCTGCTCTGAGCCAGCAGGCGTGAGAAGGGCTGCTTGGAAACAATAGGTAATAGAGGAAGTGCTTTCCCAGATAAGCCCAAATAAATACAGAAATTAACTGCTTGCGTGTGCGTGTGGAATATCACAGGGCAGTGAGGGCTTGCTATGTGGCAGGGATGAATTTGTTGCTGGGTGCAAGAAGGTGCTTGCTGGGGAAGAGGCTAGTGGGACTCCTTGGGAGGGGAAGAGGTGATGCTTTAAAGAAGAAATCTTCTTGGAAAAAGGGCCAATGCTGGTATCACCTTGCTGCCATGGTACAAGTAAGAGCTATTAATTTTCCCGCAGTTGGTTGTGTAATTGCGCTGCAGGGCCCTGTGAATGCTGCATTTAAATTAGACTGCAATTGGAAATAATGAAGGTTAAAGCCCTCTTACATTATTTTATGATCAAATTAGTTCCTTCGACCGAGAAAGCAGCTGTGGTAGCAACAAGTGCCACATTAGGAACAAGACCATAGGTTCGAGGTGTTATTCAGAGCTAGCTTTAGAAAGGTACCTCCGTGCAAAATGACTGGATTTCAAAATGAAAAGGCTCTGGCAGTCTGGGGCAGAGGCTGGGGATCAGCCTGGGTGCGAGGGGAAGGGCAGCACTGGCAGGGTGGAGGAACTGTGAACAAAGTGGGGAACAAGGCAGCTCTGCTGAGAGCTACGATACCAAAATTAGGTGTTCCTACAAGGTGAAAGCCATTGGATGCTGAGGGGATGCAGAGGGGCACACTGCATATCCCACCCTGCTCTTACTCATCTTGAATGGCTGTATATAATAGTGGGGAGGGCTTGGGCTAAACCAAGACAGCATTCTTCTATTTTTACTCTTAATTTGTAGCTGAGAAGAGGGTAATTAAGACTTTCTCTTAGCTGTAGGGACTTGGAGACTCTGCTTTTATCCCCTTAGGCTGTTGTTTCAAAGCAGCTGTTAGCTTCAGGACCTCAGCTAACTTCTGCCTGCCGAGCCCACAGCTGGCCTTGGATGCACTGGCTGCCTCTGGGAGTTCAACTTGTCCCTCTTCAGCCTAAGCATCAAGGAGGAGCTGGTAAGATTTAATTTTTTTTTCTTTTGGTCCTGATTGGAAGGGGTCTGGGTGCTGCAAAGGGCTGCTACAGACAGCGCTGTGGTGTTCCAACCTTGCTGTGCCCCTTACCTGGCAAGGGAGGGTCCTTCTCTCTGGCATGGAGCATGCCCTGGCATGATGGATGCAGAAGGCTTTGAACTGCAAAGCACAGAGCATCACCCTAGTCTTCACCCTTTCAGGGTGGCGAAGGAGTGGGTGGGTGTAGGAAAGCATGATCTGAGGGTTCCTGGCTGCTCTGGGCCATGGAGCAGCTCTGAGTGACGTTGTGGCAGCCTCACCATAGTTGCCTGATCCCAGAGTGAACAAGGCTCTGGGACATATGTGACTGCCAGCTTGTGTATCAGCATCCTCAGTGATGACTTTCTGCTGTGCAACTCCAGCGCTCCAGGCTCTGTGACACACAGCGTACCCCTGAGCTGTTCACACATGGCTGCCACCACCCACACAGTCACATCAGTCCTAAGACCCAGGTCTGAATGATTTTCAAGCTTTTGCCTGGCTCTGCTCCCAGGAATTTGCAGACTTTCTCAGCCTCCCTTTCCCCACAACACCTTGCCTGAACCTCCCTCTGCTCCTTGAGAGCCCTCTCCTCTGTGGCTGCGGCCATCTGCAGCCTCTCTGGGTCTCTGTGCTTTATCAGCTCCCATCTGGAGCTCATCTCAGTACTCTCACATCTTGCTGATATGCAGCCTCATCTGTGCTCCAGAAGGAGAGAGGGGACTGTGCTTCCCCTGGGATCCCGCTCCAAAACCCCGTGGGACTGTGTGGATCGCCTCTGGCTAGCGTGGGTGCACATTTGTCTTCCAGCTGCAGTTTTAGCCTGATAATTAGGGAAATGCAGGACATAGCAGAGAGGGTGAAGACTTCACAGCAGCTCTAAACCCACTCTGACCTTCCGTCCTGTCCCCCAGATTAAGTCGCCATTTACACAGAGGCTCCATGTTCAGCTTTGGGGGGTCCCTTGGCCAAAGTCTCCTTGGCTGAAGGCTGACACTGGGCCAGTTGTGTAAGCCAAAGCCCTCAGTTTGCTTTAGCTGATGCAACAGCCTTTCTCCAGCCTCCCTTAGGTTAAACCTCCTGATGAGATTCAGGCGTACCACGCAGGCAGGATGCAGCAGGGAAGATTACTGGTAGGGCTCAGAGAGACGTCAACTCCTGCGGAGAGCGATTAGCAACTCCACTTACACCCCTGGCTCCCAAGAGCCTTCAGGAAGCTGATTAGGGCACTGGAGGGATTTATTTATGGTGAGAGTGGAAATTCAGTACTTGCTGGTGCTGAGGAGATGCACAGGTATGCACCCAGCCTGGCTGGGAGCAGGGGAGATCAGAGGGGCAGTGATACCCGAGTGCATAGCTAGGGGATGGGAATAACCTTCCTCAGACTTATTTCTTTCTGATGGGGTGTCACCTCTAGCTCTGTATTAGGCTGACACTACTGTGCTTGATATAAAATGCTAAAAAAATCCCTCTGAGCATGGAAATGAGCATCAGGGAACTGGGCCAAGTGGTAGAGATGGTAGCAGCAGCCAGGGAGTCATCTGCCCAGGAGGTGCTGCAAGGCCACCAATGCGGCTGGGCAAAGCCCTTGGGGGAGAGATGGGCTCCCTGTTGCTCCATCACACCGGGCCCAGGCAGAGGAGGAACGGATTCCTTGGTTTCTGTGGTGCCAGCAGGGTGTGCGAGGGGAGGCAGGTACCTCTGACTGCTGCAGGGGATTGAGGCAGGACATGGCTGCTGTGCATTCTCCCGAATAACGGGCTGTTGTGGACCACTCACTCGGCCCTCCAGCAGCCTGTCTCCTTCAGCCTGGAGAGGAGAAGGCTCCAGGCAGACCTCATAGCAGCCTACCACTATCTGAAGGGAGCCTACAGGATGGCCGGAGAGGGATTCTTTGTCAGGAAGTGTAGTGACAGGACAAGGGGTACTGGTTTTAAATTGGAAGAGGGGAGATTTAAATGAGGATGAAAATCTTTATCGTGAGGGTGGTGAGACACTGGAACAGGTTGCCCAGAGAAGCTGTGGATGCCCCACAGGTGTTCAAGGCCAGGCTGGATGGGGCTTTGAGCAACCTGGTCTAGTGGAGGTGTCCCTGCCCAGGGCAGAGGGGTTGGAACTCAATGATCTTTAAGGCCTTTTCCAACTCTTAACCATTCTGTGATTCTATGTGGCAGCAAAACACTCAGAGAAAGGCCCCCACTGCCACCACCCTCCCTCCTACCCAGGGGTTGGGACCCAGTGATCCCCCCGGAGGATGAGCACACCATGCTGTAGCAAAGGGAGGCTGTAGGCTGCGATGAGACCATGGCCACCCATCACTGGGGTGGGACTCCCCAGGCCTGGGGGCTTCTTCACCCACCGGAGAGACAAGCCCTGTGGCCTTGCCTTCCAGCTGGGCTCTCGCTGCCATCATCAGCAACACTCGGTGGTTAACAATGAATTTTCCGGCTCTCTCGGGAAGAACAGAACATCCCAGCGCTCTTCGGTGAAGAGCTTGATCTCCAGGTGTCCCTCACGCAGCAGGGGTCGGGCCGGGCTGCCCCGCGGTGGGCGGCTGCGGGCAAAGGGGGCTCAGCCTGGGCCGCCTTGCCCCCGCCGATCCGGGCTGCCCGGCAGGGGGCGCCTCCGCCAGTTACGGCCCGTCCCTCCCCCCGAGCTCCGCCCCTCTTTGTTGCGGCCGCCAATGGGAGCGCGCCGAGGGCGGGCGGCCGGCCGGTAGCGTGGTAACGCGGCGGCATGGAGCGCGGCGTGGGGCGCGCCCCCGGGGCCGGGCCCGGGCGCCCGGGACGAGCGGGGACCCGCCGCTAGGATAGGGGGCCGTGCCCGCGCCCAGCCTCCGCCGCACGCACGTAGTACGCACACATACCTATAGATATTTTATACAGAGAGAGAAAGAGGGCCCGGGCGGCAGCGAGACCGCGGGGCACCTCCTGGCAGCGGTCACCGCGGCGTCCCCAGGTTCGGGCATGGCCGCGGGGCCATGACGGGCGCGGCGGCGGGCGGTGGTGGCGGCGGCGGCCCCGGGAGCACCCGCCGTGCGGCGGTGGGCAAGGCGGGGGGCCGGTCGCGGAGCGCCCAGCCGCGGGCGGCTGGCGGCGGCGGCGGGGGGAGCGGGAGCGGCGGCGGCTCGGAGGAGGAGGAGCAGCGGGACGGCGGGTCCCTCTTCTTGGTGAACAAGAGCGGCTTCCCCATGGACGGGCAGACCTGGGAGCGGATGTGGGGGCACGTGGAGCGGGTGCACCCCGACGGCGGCGCCGTGGCGGCGGCCATCCGGAGCGCCGCCCGCCTGGCTCGGGTAAGGCGAAGCCCTCCACCTCCGCCCCCGTCCGACCCCGCAAAACCGAGAAGCCCGAAAGCGGGCAGCCCGCGGCGGCCGGGGTTTGTGGGCGTCGAGGGGCCGGGGAGGCTGAGGGCTGGGCAGGGGGTGCCGCGCCTCGGCCCCGGGGGGGCTCCCGGCCCCTGCGAGGGGAGAGCGGGAGCGGCCGCGCTTGGAAAATGCACAAAACGGGGTATGGGATGCCTGGGAGCTGGAGCTGGTGTGTTGGGAAACAAGTAGGGGGAAAAAAAATAAATAATTGCCGTTTTATCTTGAGGAAAAAGCGGAAAGCAAGAATTAGAAGAAATCTTCAGGGACTGAGCGGAGTGCTTTGTGCAATTTAAAGCACGTTTTGCACAGCTTTTTGGGGACAGGCGTTTCCTCAAACACAGCCTTGCTCCTGAAACGTAATAAGGGATTTAAAACTCAGACATTTCATTTCCAGTACGTGGAAAGCTTCCAAATGCTTTTGTATTGTACGTTTCTTGGTACAAGCTCCAAACAGCTCTGCCTGACCCCAATCTTTTCTTTTTCCTCCAGCCAGCAAACAAAATGTTGTTGTCTGCTGATGTTCCAGGGCTTCTCACCGCTGCGCTGCATTACTGATCACAATGTCTTTAATGCTGTCGGCTTTGGCAGGCTTTGAGCTCGATTCGCTCCTCCCACCGAGCAGCTTTAATCTGAGCTGACCGCTGAAGTCGGCATTGATTTGTACCTGGTTGTCAGTGATATAAAGGTTTGTTCTTTATGTGGGGTAGAAAGGAAAAATGGTGTGCCTGGAGAAGTTGAAAGTGCATTGAGTAGGGCCACCTTGCGAAGGCGCTTGTCAAGGAGGATGCAAACTGAAAGGGTCTTTCATGGCTCTTCTGCAGTGTTTAGTTCAGCGTAAGTGCAAAAGGGGCAATCTCTGTTCCCCCACTTCTCTTGTGCTGGCATCAGCCTTTGTTTGGATCGGGGAGCAGATCCAGTGAAATAATAATCTGGTTTTGCTGGGTTTGTTTGTGGTTCTCTGGTGTGGTTCATCTCAAATTTGCACAAGCACTTGAAGTAGAAATGAAGGGGCAGGAAGAGGGCAGAACTTCTCGTTTCAGCAGCCCGACCAGCTTACACTAGTCTAAATGGCCTGCAGATATATTTGGTGTTAGGAGATGGCAGAGCACACGCTGGACTTGTTTTCCTTCCTTTGCTTTCTGGCTCCAAAGCACCCTTACTGGTGATACCCATAGTGACTGACAAAGCATCTGATAGAGATGTGCTCGTGGCTCTATGCTCCCTGCTCGAGCACCCCAGAGAGCATCACTCATGGTTCTTCCTTAGTGCCAAAGCACGAGGCTCACTCAGTGCAACATACGCTGAAGCTGGGTAGGAGGAAAAATATTTTGAGACTTGCTTGGATAAATCATTTGATGTTAGTTACCGGTTCCTGGTAGGTGGAGGGTGCAGGAGAAGAGTTCTATTGAGTTCCTCCAGCACTGTCTGGCAGCAGACTCCCTGTTGCAGTGATTAACTTCTTCAAGGGCAGAAAGGCTTGATGTCCCCTGTGGCTGATTAGCCCTTGCTGGCTAAGCCTGGGACCTCTGGGGTCAGAGAGTAGCTTAAGGAACACCTGGTCCTTTTTAAGTCCAGCCTAGCTCAGGTGAGCAAATTAAGGGTGGGAGCAGGCTTGTTTGCTATAAAGTGGTAGTGGGTTGCTAAAGTTGTGATGGTAATTTCAGGGTTAGAGCAGGAAGGTGAGGGGAGAGTTGTTCCTTAAATGATGGTAGAACTCTTTTAATTGGCTTTTGCTGCTGAGTATGTGGAAACCTGCAAAAGACCAGGTAGTGCTGACTGGGAGTGTTGAGAGAAACTTGTGCCTATGAGAAGATGGTTTGTAATCGGCTTGCATTGGAAGTTGGTGGAGGCTGAGCGAGTGGTCTGTGCAGCTGCTCCTTTTTTTGCATCTGATCTGTTCTTAATCCCTAGTGATGGGAGAGAGTTTTCATCCCATCCCCAAGAAGCTCTGCTTGATTGCTCTAATCATCTTGGTATTAGTCTCAGTGATCATACATGCAGGGCGGTAAGTAGCTTCTTACTGTATCAGCGAGGCTGCCCTTACTGGAACAAATGCAAACTGCAGATGTGCAGGGCTGCATTTCTCCTGGAAGAGTCCCCATGAAAAGCTGGCTTGTCTCCAGGAGGGGCAGTTTCAGAACCTGAGGGGTCCCTTGGTTGCACTCCCCCTGCCCGCCCCCCACACCTCTGGCTTTTGGCTTGAGCTCTGGGAAGGGTGCAGGCTCCCGGTTTGGAAGGGCTGTGCAGTCCTTTATGTGGTCTGTGATCTTGGAGGTACTTGGAGATCTTAGAGAATTAAATCTCTTGCCAACTTTGAGTGCTCCAGCCTGCCAGCTTCATCCACGCTAAGTAACAGTGTACTTGTAGGGCGAGCTAGCAGAAAATGACTTTCTGGTCATTCGATGAGACACAGTAGAGTCAGGCGAGTTTCACACAGGATGTCTGTGGTGAACTGAGACTACAGCATTTTCAGCCGCAGGATGATGGTCTCCAGCTCTACCATAAGGTCTTGCACTGCACTGACTCTGGAGCTGCTGCCCCTTGGAAATAAATACGGATACTGGGTCAAGGCCCTTTCATCTGCCTGGTTTCTGAATTTCATTCGATTTATAAATTCATGTTCTGTAGTGCTGTTTGTCTGTGTTTCCCCTCAGTGGCTACAAACCTTTGCTGGCTCCTGTAGGTAGCTGAAGCACCAGAAGCTGGAGGACTGCAGCCTCAGCCATGCTTTTCTTCCCTTGTGGTATCGTGGTGTAGCCCTGGCTTCTGATCGGTGCTCTTGCAGCAGGGGCAGGAACTTGGGGGGATTAAAAATGGGTGTTGTTTGGAGGGAGTGGGAGCGGCGGGTGGCTCTCCAGCACCTGACCTGGCTGGTGGCATGGTGCCGTGTACTGCCCGCCTGGCCCTGGAAAGAGGAGAGCAGTGTGATGTCCTCCCCGGGGGGAAGACCGATGGCTGCTTCTCCCCCATTGCTTCAGATCTGTAGGGGCCTGGGCCTCCTGGCTCAGCAGGAGAGCACCAGCCATTGGGAAAAACCCAACTCTCTTTACCCGAGTGTGCCCCAGTGGTTGACACCATCGTCCTCTGCCTTGGAGATGGGGAAGCACCTCACCTGGAGGTCCAAACCCGACCCCTGTGGCGAGGGTGGCCGCTCTAGGTTACAGCAAGGGCTCCGTCCCTCTGCACTGGTGCAGTCCCTATGGGATGCTGTCCTGTCCTACAGCTGAGGGAGGGCAGGGGCTTCCATTTTGCAGAGGGCTGGGAAAGGGGTGCTGTCTCCCCGGCGGCTCTGCAGCAGCCAGGACTCTGGCTGCTCCCATTGCCTTGACCTGTCATGTATGTGCAACCTGGAGGTTTTTTATTTTTTATCTTTGAAGAAAAGGAGTGTTGGTATCAGAGCAGGAATTACTGCACCTGGAAGGATTTGACAGGCCTGCCCGAGTTCCCTCTTCCAGCCTCTTGCTGCTCCTGAGCCTCAAGCCCCGTCTGGTGTGCTGGGTCCAGACCTGCCTTCCCCTTCTTGCCCAGGGGGACAGGTGAATAATTCCCCCAGACCAAAGGGGCCGGTGGCAGAAGGAACTTGTGGAACCAAAAAATTACCTCTAAGGAAGAGGTCAGGCCTGGAAATTGTGATTAAGAAGCATTAATGAACCTTGCTTGTAACTCACACTTGTTTGGAGAGAAAACCCTCACATATGTGGTTGTCTCCTGTGTGGGGCTGGCAACAGCGAGCTGGAGGCCTGGCCGCCTGTCTCCTTGCCATTTAATGCATCTTTCTGTGTGCCAGTAATGTAGGAATCTCTAGTTTGTTTGTTTGTTTGTTATTCCTTCTTTGAGTTCTATTTGCTGTTTGGCTGTAGTAACTACCAACGTGTAGTAAATAGTGGGTTTTGGTCATTTTGGGGCTACTGGTGCTTGCTCTCTGAGAGCAACCATGCAATCCCTCCACTCTGGTGGAGGTGGGAACCAGAGAGGGACATCTGTGTGGCAGAGTACTGCCTGAACTTGCTATTCTGTAATTGCTGACTTGAAATGTCTCTAGAGCAGTGATATTTCACTTTACAATCTTAAAATTATTGTCACGACATCACAGGCCTGCTGATTTTCCTTTGCACCTTTCCTTTGCACCTTTCGTCACCACTGCCCAAGTTGCTGGTTCCTGAATTTGAGCCTGCATTAATATTTAAATAAACTATGTTTGTGAGAGTTGTACTAAATTCTGTTAGCCACTCTGCCCACTTTAACATCTGCTGACCCCGTATTTTGCAATCTCACCCCTAAAATAAGGGAGCTTGGGACAAGGCCCTGCCTTTTTCCTGTGTGGTTACAGGCTCAGGAGCTATGTAGCTGTGGGGATTAAATATGGATTGAGGGCCCGGCTTCTTAAAGTGCTTAGGTACAAGCAGATGTCTTACGAGATTTTTGAAAAAATCCCATTATGGTGCCAGTCTATATCTTTAAGTGTGTTAATATCATTAAATATCTGGGTCCCAGGTGGTCTTCTAGGTACCACGCGCTCCCTGCCCAGCAAGTGTGCTGCTGATCCGCAGCAGATGGGAAGTTACACAGCCCTGGGGGTCCTTGTCTCCTTTTATCTTTCTCTTGTGGTAGAGGAAACCAAACATTAGACTTGAAATGGCTTCTTGGGGGAGGGAGGACAGCAGAGCCAGTGCTGGGACTCAGCTCATCCAAACTGCCCTGTGCTAAAGGGGAAATATGGGAAGCGTTGGCCTTCGGTGCTGCACTGCCTGCCCACACAGGGTGGTGGTTGAGGGACCTCGGTGGCTGGGACGAGCAACCTTGTCATGGCGGGGGCCTGCCCTGGTCTCCCCGTGCCAGCAGGGATGGTGCCAGCTCTGGCGAACAGGCAGCCTCCCTTGTCAGTGGGGTGACTTTGCCCGATGCTTGAGTTCACGTGGGGTTCGAGCCATCTGTGCTGCTGCGTTGCGTTGCACTAAGCGCATGCTGCTGCCCGAGTAAATCACTTATCCGTGCTGCAGGGAGCGGTAACTGTCTAACCTCTTTATTGTTGTTTTTTTTGTGTGTGTCCAGCCCTCAGTGCCACCGGTGCCAAACTACAAGCTCTCCATGTCAATTCCAGAATGGCTCCAGGCAATACAGACCTACATGAAGATGCTGCAGTATCCTTCTCCAGCACGTCGCCTCCAGAGAGAAGGCTGGCTTGTGCCTGGCGTGAATTAACAGGGGCTTTACAGAAACAGTAGCTGCTTGCGAGGGCTTGGGATCATTTGGGGATGAAAGGATGCCTCTAAGGATTTGTGGTAGAACCTGCAGCACTGAGCTTGTCACAGCAATCCTCCGCAAGATGTAATTAACGTTAAATGATACTGAAGAATTTAACTGAAGTGAAGGTGGTGGGAATAGAAATGCTTATTTTGAAGTTGGCTTAGAGGATATTATGATCAGATCGTGATGTCTGGAGACATGATATGGCATCTTGTCGTAAAGTGACTAAGGGAGAGCCAGTGTTGTCAAAACCTCTTTCTCCCTCTGTCCTGGCAGCCCCTGTGGGCTCCCTGAGGACTGCCTACGTGCTCAGCTTGCAGGGGGTGCTTGTCACGAGGGTGGGGGACACAAACAGCTGTCCTGTCCTCACAGGCTTGCCTGTGGCATGGGTCCCACCTCGCATGGGGGGGTTCATCGGAGATTTACACATCTATCCAGCCTCCCTATCGCTGCCCCATGCCTAATACCTGACCTTTTCCATTGCTGATGGATAATGTTGGAGGAGATGGTTGCTGGCTCAGATGCTGCTCTTCTCTCTGTTTCCTTTTTTTCTTCTAAACTCTCCCTTTTTGTGTGCATACATGTGTGTGTCGGGGGAAGCAGTGGGGATGAGGAATGAATGTACAGTCCTGGTAAGGATTAAGAAAGGATATAGGTGGCAGCTGGAAGAGCATCCAAAAATAGCAGGCGTGGTTAGCCCACTGGGGAGCAGTGGCTGGGATCAAGGCGGCAGCAGGGGCTGGAGCCACAGCAGCTGCTGTGGGGAGGGAGGCTGGGGCCAGCCTGTTCTGCGGGGGGACGGCGCATTTCTCTGCTGCGTGTGGGCCTCTTGGGCAGGACAAGAGGCTCGTCGCTCAGTGGGGTTGTGCTGCAGAGGAGATCCTGTCACGCAGAGCTTCCAAAGTGATATTTTTTTTTATTTCCCCCCTCCCTCCCCCAGTGGTCTTGAAATCTCGTACTCCGCTACATAGCAGGAGCAGGCTGTAGTCACAGGGTTTGGATCTGTGTTCAGAAAAGCTTCGATGTGGGCTGGGGAACAGGGTCTGGGCTTCCTTTGTGGGCTAAAAAAGGCTGTATGCTTTGTTCAAAGCACTCAGAAAGGGCCTCATGAATTAGGTTTTGAAGGCAGGAGGGAAGCAAAGCCTCGTTTCCGGAGAACTCTGAACTCTAACTGAAGTCAGTTCAGAGCATCCTGGTGTGAGCTGAAGTTTTTATTTAGACCATTGGTTATACAGCCAACAGCTATACTATTTATGCCTTGCAAAGTACCCTTTCCCTTTGTGGGGGTCACCTCTTTCTGTCCTGGTATCACCACCACAATTTTGCTGGCGTAAATGTTCTCATGGCTGTGTTGGTAACTAGGCTGGGGAACACATTCAACTCGAAAAATAACCCGGCAAAAATAAGTGGATGGTCTGATTATTATTTTTTGGGGGCATGTTTTTTTTGTTTGTTTGTTTTTACTGGACAAGTTGGTTTCCTGACCTGTTTTACTGCATCACTGCTTGAACAGCTGTGCTCAAGGAGCAGGGAAGAGGCCGCTTTTGGTGGTGATGCTGCTGCTGTGTGGTAGCTTGCACTCCTAGGCAGGTGGTGGTGAGCTTTGGTTGATGAGTGACTGCTGACGTCCTTTGTGATGAACTTTTCTCCTGTGCTCATAGTGTTAACTAATGTCAAGTTGCACTTAGCTAGTTATTTCCATTTCAAGTGCACTGTATTTTTTAGAGAATGATTTATATTTCCTGGATGTAAAAGGATGCATCTGCTGTGCTTTTGGTTTACAGGTCATATGTGAGCTATGTGGCTGACTGAGTTAAAAACTTACAAAGGAATTAAGTTCTTTCAAACCATGAATGATGTTGGCCTGACTGTAAAAGCTTTCTCTTGCCCAAATACAGACTTTTTTTTCAAACTTGTAACCTAACAATGGGTGGGACCTAGAGGAAAAGTTAATTCATAACCCTCAGATGCCGAATTCAAGTGTTGTTTTAGACAAAACAACCTTTTTGCTTGACTCTCCATCTAATGCCTGTTAATGTGTCATATAAAAAGACAAGTGAAAAAATTGCTTTATTTCACATGCTAGGTTTTTATCTCTGTTGCAAAACTGCTTGTTTTGTTTTTCAACAGGAAATCAGAACTGAAATTCACTTTTTGAGCATTGTTATTTTATTATTTGCCTGTTCAAGCTACTTTCCTTTAACAGACAAAATTCAGATACAATCACACGGGAACACAGTTCTTCGAGATTAGAAAAACCAGACCTCTAAGTGGGTAAGTGTCTTGGAAGTGTCTAGTGCCCTTGCCCCACATCATGCCAGCTGAACACCTTGGACATTTAAGCACTGTAGCACCACGACACAGGAGGACTGTCTCCTCTGCGCCACGGCTCCTCTGGCAGGGCCAAAACTGTGTATGTTGCTGCCTTTGCAAGGAGGGTCCAGCTTGCTGAGAGGTGGCAACAAATGGACCCATTGGGAGCTAACAAGTGGAAGGGCTGGTCTTGCTCAGCAGCCTCATAGGAGCTGCATAGCTGCAGGCCAAATCTCAATGTGCAGGGTTGGGAAAACTCTCAGTTCTTACTTGTTGGTGTTGGGTTGGGAGGGCTGGGCTGCTTTTATGGAAACTTTTTAAGTCCTGATATTCTGGTTGTGCTGTAATGCCCTTTGCTGATGGTACAAAGAGATAAACTGCAAAACACTGCAGGAATTTTCACGTTGTCTCAGGCGCCAGTCCTTTCCCCTGGAGGATCACAATGGACCATGTAAGTCATGGCCTTGCTTCTCCCACTGCTGCTCATCTTGATGTTCCTTCCATGTGGTGGACTCATGCACTGGTTGGTGATGAATTGTGCAATACACGAATGAACATGTGCGTGGGGAGCCTGGTAGTAGAGAGCTGGGATCCCTTGCATGTGAGAACCACATCATACCTAGGGCAGCTCTTCAATAGGACCCAGTAAATTAGAAGGCTGGTTGGGAGGTGATGTTGACCAAATTATGCTTTTATTTTAGGATGAAATTTAGATAAGCAGAATATAATTACTCCTGTAGACTGACGTGTCTCTAGCTCTCCCCAGCTGGCTGTTATTAATCTAATGGTCAGTCACTGTAAATTTCAGTTCCCGTCCCAGCTCTGTGCTTCAGGTTTTCATCTTGCAGACAGCAATCTTTCCCACTTCCTTTCTTTATGTAATGTTCACTGCACCGGTGGAACTAGTTTAGATGAAATCTTGTGCCTTGAAGGATAGATGGGTTTACAGAAGCTTAAACCAGTTTTCAGGCTGGTCACTCATTTTTCAATTTGTCCCATTACTTTCTTTCCAAGGAAGTAGAGGATGAAAATGAATTGTGCTCAGCACTCACTGCTTGAAAGGTCAGCGTCCTCCTGGGCTGGATGAAAGCCTGGTTTATGAGGATGGTACTTTTCCCTGGAAAGGAACCAAAATAGTGCTCACAGCTGGAGATGAATCCTCTCCTAAGTGGTGCCATTTCCTCTGCCTTAGTGTTTGCTTGGGGATTTGTGTCTGACTTTTCTCCTTGTCCTGTTGCTGTTAGGTAGGACTTGTGTGAGTGACCTGGTATGTGGTGGCAGGACTTCTGCAGAGATAAGGAGAATGTCTCTGGCAATGGTTCAACCCCTTGGGGCAGCTGCTGCCAGCCTGTCAGGCACAGTTGCCTGCACCTGGTGTATGCTGGACTTGCAGAGTGTTAAGTCCTAAGACACATGCTGCATTGCTCCTTGACCAGATGGACGGGAGTGCTAGGAGTTGTGGAGCTGTTTGGAGCACACTTAGCTGCCCAGATCCTGTCGTATTGCAGCCGGGCTCAAGTGCTTCCCCTGTCTTGGTTTCTCCAGCTTTGAGACAGGGAAGAACATAACACGTTGGTTGCCCTGTAATGTTGAGGTGTCCCTGAAGGCTTTACTTTCCTTCATCTGGGGTGTGTGGCAGTACATACCAGCTGAGGATACCTTCTCTTGCAATTGTCTGTGGTGATTTGTTCTCCTATTGCCAGGCCAGTTTTCATCAGAGCTGAAAAATCTCTCAGGTGTGGGTATTTTTTCCTAGGAGGTATGTTCCTCTTTGCAAGAAATCCGCTTCCAGTGTAGTGACAGCAGGCATCTTGTGCTGAGGCAACAAGCCCTGCTCTGAGCAAGTTTGTGGTGTGAAAGGCCCCGCTTGCTGGAAGACAAAGTTTGCATTTACGGGTTGATCAGGCAAGATGCTGAGTGCCTCCAATTGCTACCAGCTCTTGGAAGTTGGGGCTGTAACCGGAGCTGTGATTTATTGATACTAAACATATTGCTTATTTCATAATATGAGGGCTTAAAGCTAATGAAAGTATTATGAGATCTTTGGCAGCCAAAGAGAGAGCAGAGGCTGGACACAAAGAAGCTGAGCACTAGATGGAAATTGAATATTCATAAATCCATGTGAAAGTGTCCTAAAGCAGCTGGAGCATATTAATGAGTTTTTCTATTATGGAGGACTAGATATTATAGAGATTTACTGTCAGCATTGGTATGATGCATGAGAAAATAAAAATGCCTGGCTGTGATTAGGAAGAAGAGCATAAATTATCTATAGGGACTTATAACATTAAGGGACACAGGTTTGCTATAATTCAGTATTTACAGTCTCTCTTAAGAAGAAGTCACTGTTAGCTATCAACTTGCTTCTAGACTGCCAGACACCCTGGATTCGTCTAGACTACAGATAACACTTCTGAAAATGTTAAATTTCTGTTGGCATAGCTGTGTGGGTTGTGGTAGTAGAGATGTGATCCTGCTAACCGCGTGGTGTTCCTGTTGTACTGGCAAACTGTGTATGAAAATGCATCTTACCTGGCCTGAGTTTGCTGTATTCTCACAAAATCCACATTTACACATGTAGTTACATCCACCATAGGAGTGCTTTGTTAATTGAGTATACAAGGTATCCTGGCCTGGGATGGTGTGCTTTACATAGGCTTTGTGATGTGCCCTTTCCTACTAGGTAGATAAAGGGCTCCCCTTGGAGATCAGCTTTACTGATCCATGCTATGTGTGTGATGCGTGCACCCATTCTATGTGAGTGTTTCAGACACCAATTCAGCTGGTTTTCCTTTTCCCATACAGGATTATGGTGGCAAAACCTACATTACAGTTTTTGTTGGTACAACCATTCTAATAAAAAATGGCACTGTTAATAGAAATAGTCATTCTTTAAAACTCCAAAGCCTAGATCATGTAAGAGCTTTAGAAAAACATTGTATTTCTGGATATCTAGTGATATCTGTAACTGTGCATTCAATGCCAACAAACTTCTATTACTGCCTTTACAAGGAGCAATAAGCCTTCAGCAAGCTTCTGTTCTAGGATGCAGGCATGAGCCACAATGAGGAACAAATATCTTTGTCCTCCACGGAGTATCTGGGGAGGTTATATGTAGGTGTGGTATTGTGCTGTTCCTTCCAGTTAAGTGCCAGCTGATTAGTGGGACCTATGTCTGAAGCAATAAGTGGGTAGGTTTTGGGGGACTTTGAGAAATTGCAGCTCAGAAGCTGCTCTGTGAAGATGGAGAGACATTCAGTGACTGCAGATATAATGCATAATCAATTGCAATAAAAGAGTGTGATAGGAGCGGTCATGTGGGAATGGTGCAACCAAGTAACAGCGAAGGTGGGAGATGGAAAATGACACTGTTTCAACACACTGTGTTATTAAGGAATCCTGATGGAGCTGTAAAGAAAAAATGGTCTCATACCATTTCCAGACAATAGGCTGCAAAAAGCATTTAAACATCTGTTTCTCTCTCACACAAAGAATGTTACAGATATGGTGCTATCTTCAGCATGTGGTAGAAGTGCTTTTGCCATTGAAACAAACTAGTTTTGAGAAGATTCATGAGAGCAGTAGCTGGTCCACTGTTTTATCTCCTTTTGCTCCTGTTGGTGCCTTTCACTTCTTTGCTTCATTGGGAAGAATAAAACTGTCTTAGGAAGACTTGGAAGAGGGAGGTTTATGGACCTCATGCGAGTACCGAGGCCTAGGCAAGGAGAACTTAGTGGAAAATGTGCTGGAGGATCTCACTAATTCAAAGTTTATTGAAGTCTGGTGAAGGTAATGGGCAACCTCTCCTCCTAAGCATGGACATCTCTGATGTGACTTTAGTGTGATGGGTGCCAGCTGCTGAGATCCTCCAGTTTTGGGCATGCTTTGAAGCTTTTTCTAACCTATATATCAGATTGGATGCTCTAGTGAAAAATCTGGGAGCAAAAGGAATTCACAGTTCCCCTGAGATGACTGCAGTCGCTGCCATTTTAAACAGAAAGCACCCAAAAGATGCAAACCCATCTCCTCTAGGGGCCTTCTCTTGGTGCAGAAAGCAAAGAAGATAATGCAGATAGGCTTCTGAAAGCATTGAAAGAAATTTAAGTCAATTTACAAGGAAATATCTCCATCTACCAAGGACTAGATCTCAAGGGAGGAGCGTGCAGCCTGTTAGAGGCAGAAATGTTCACTGTGGTCTGGAATAGAGATCTGCCTGGCAGACTTTAGACAGTGGTGTAAGTGCCACAAAGAGGGAAGCTGCACTGTGGCAGTCTCCCCCAAGTTACTGGAAGAGATGGGCTGCCCCTGTGGTCACTGGGATCTGTGAAGAAGGGTGGCTTTGGGCTAGTTCCCAGCTAACCATGATACAAGATGGAAAATTACTGTGTTAGAGTATCGTATATGTGGAGTCTGCTCAGATAACTGGAAAGATTTAAAGAAAATCCTGGAAACAAGCCCTGCTCAGGCAGGGAATCGAAGTGCTTAATGCTGTTTTTTTAGTTCTTTCCCCTTTTCTTTAAATATTCTTTCACAAGTCTAATGGTGCAGCCTTTCTGGTTGCAATTAACATCTGAGACAGCGTGGTAAGAATTGAAAAGGATGAAAGAAAATAGAGAAAGGACAAGTCAAAGCACACTTGTAATTATTTTATTTTCAAATGAGCTAGGTGCTCTCTTAGAGAACTGGCAAACAGCCTCCAAACCATTGATACTTCTAGGGTGTGGGGAAGAGGGTGTGTTACAGCATGTGGGGAAGATGGGTGCTCCTGTTGGAAACTGGGGAAGGCAAAGATACCAGCCTTCAAACAAAAAATAAAGGAAAAGATAAGTCTAGGAACTATTTGAGTTTATCTGCAGCTTCAGGAAAAATGCTAGGGCAAATAATGAAGTGTCTGGAACATAATAAGGCACTAAGCGATACCTTCAATTTGGTCTGGCATGTTTTGGTTCTGACAATTTCCTTCTGTGAGAGTGTAAGAGCTTTTGTCAGTCAGGGAGAAGGTGTGGTTGTGATAATTCTTTCTTTTCGTATGGTTTTTGATAGCCTCCAAATAAGGCAGGGACCTCAAGTCTCAATGAAACTATTTTGGCAGAAGGACCCGACCTGGTGAAAAGCAGCAATTAGAAAGCGGTACTTAACCAGTACCTTGCTCTTGCTTAACAGTTTGTCACTTGAGGTGTGCAGTCTCTGTCCCAGGTCAATGTTTTTTGATTAATGGTACAGAAAAGAATAATTTTTTGCTAATAGATGTACTTTTGGTCCAGGCTGGGCAAGGTGACAAGGCTTTGCAAAGTGGAATTGGGATTCAGAGTGATCTCAAAGGGTAAGAGAGAACTGGGCTGGTACAAACTGGAGGTATTTGAGTAAGGGCAAATACAGAGAAGGGATTTGGAATACACAGTGGAGAACAAAAAGTTAGTTTTGCACAGATGGAGCTGATTTAAAAAAAAAAACACTGGCTTTGTAGCAAAAAATATACTGAAAGTTGGATTCAGAAGAAAATTGGTCTGTCTGTATTGGTATTGTGGGCTCCGCTCAGGACCATGAAATGCAAGTCAATTGAAGAGAATCCAAAAGGAAAGTAACAAACATTGCCCAAGTTTAGAAAACATGACCTAAGGAAAGATTTGGGGTGACAGAAAGGGGGAGGGGGGGAGGGTTTAAAAAGAAAAGAAGAAAAAAAAAAAAAAATCTGTGTCTGCTTTTTCATGTTTACAGAGGCGAGGGTAGTTACAGCCTGTCGTGTATACAAATGTCAGTTGCAAGAGGAGAGATAATAAATGGTCTCTGTGCCCACTGTGAACAGCCGAAATAGCTTCTGATTTAAATTGCAAAAAAAGGACAGATTTAGTTTAAACATGAGGGAACCTTCTTAGATACAAGGTTAAGTACAGGATAGATTAACTGTTGGGTTCCTGAGCCTTTGAGAACCCAGTTAAAAGTAGGTTGGAAAATTATCTGTGGGGAGTGATTTAGATTTGGGTTATGCCACCTTGGAGAGAGTGGTGGCTGGGGATTCTCCAGAGGCTCTGCTTCCAAGGCAAACACGGGGTTTAAGGCCATGCTTTATCTCAAGCTTGTTAAAAGCAGAAGAAGGACTCTCTGGGTGATTATTGAACTGGGTCATCCGCATAAACCCTGTGGTGCAAATGCAGAGGAAAAGCTAAAATGTTTGTGAATATTCCCTGGGATGCTGGCATGGATGTGTGTGAGGGAATACCTGCCCTGTGGTGCAGAGGGATGCCTGCTTTTTGACTGATGCTTCCCTTGCACAGATCCTCATCACTGTCATGATTCAGAGGCTGTGGCTCTCTCTGAGCTGCCAGGTCCTGGGTGGCCACTGAGCACTTGCTGCAGCTCCTACACCTCCTGCTTTGAGGAGGAGGTGGGACAGGACGGCTTCCCGAGGTCCCTTCTGAGCCCAGCTATGAGATAATGCTACGTAAGGGGAAGGGAGGGCTGCTGCTAGCCTCAGAAGAGACAGCCAAGGTACTCATGCGCTACCAGACAGCATTTTTTTAATCAAGGAAAATGCCTCTCCTGTTCAATTTAAATCTGTCTTAATAACCATATAGCATCCTGGAGGGCTGTGCTTCAGAACCAGGCTTGCAAACAGAGTGCCTGTTAAATACAACTCAGTATTTAAATAGTGTGAGTGTTGCTGCGACAGGTGAGTTGGCAGCAATTTGTCTGCTCATTTAGGCCAATTACTTTGAAGACTCCCTCCCTGGCTGTGGAGTCATTAATGTTATCTCTGTGCTGACAACACCTTGAAATCATGACAGCAGTGAGTTTATAAAAGCAGGTATTAGGAGAACTGATGCTGCAGGTGGTGACGAGGCAGCTCCAGCGAGGTCACTGTGTTTGCCCACGGGCAGCAGGGTCCGTGTACGGATGGACCCAAGGAGGAGATGCTGGCCCTGTCCCTCAGACCACCTTAACCAGGCATACACCACACTGAACGACTTGAAGCTAAATAGCTTTACAACTTGAGATTTTTCTTGCCTTGATACACATCCATAATTAGCTGTGGCATCCACACCACCTACCCCCCTACCCCCCCCCCCACACTCCTCCTCCTACAGTTCTCCCACACAATCACTTGGGCAACATTTGTATCGATGAAAACAACATAAAGCAGCTCTTAACTAAAAGGAGACTGCTGTTTTACACAACATGTAAATGATTAAGTGATAGATTTTTATTACTGTTTGTGTGTAGAGTGCACTACAGCATTTGAGCATTCCTGACCGGGGCGCCCCCCCCCCCCACCCCCCCCCCCCCCCCCCCCCCCCTTCTCCTGTGAAGTTAGAAGGTAGGAAATTGAGTGGATTGCCTTGTTCGTGGGTATCTCCCATGCATTGTGTGCAAGTAATACTTCTCCGGATGGAGAGAGGGCTTTGCAGAGGCTACTGCTGCAGCCAGCACTGAAGAGCCACTGTGGGGGATGAAGGGGCCCCATTGTGTGCCCGTGCCAGAGCTGCTCCCTGCTTCCAGCAGTGGGGTTTCTGTGGCCGATTGTGAGCGTGTAGGAGGCAGGCGAACTAATTTGTCTTCTGTACTGCAGGCAGAGTGTAAAGGGCGGTTGTTTACAAATGAAAAGATAATTTCTAACTTGGATAAATGGGACACGGAATGGCTGTGACAGGCTGTAATAGCAGTGGAAGCTGTATTGCCATTTGCAAGTCGATAGATGGTTTAAAATGCATGAGGAGGTGAATCAAGAAGTGGGAAAACCAAACTCTAATGGTTTTAGATGCGTACTTTCATTATCTTCTCTAATACAAATATTTTTATCATTTAATGTCATGTTTCCTTAGATTAGGGATATGTTTACAAACCTCAGGGAAGGGCTATGGATAGAGGGGACTTCAAAATAGAAGTCATCCTTTGGTTTGGTGTTTAACTTCGTTTTGGTTTGTTTTTTTTGGTGTGTCATTGTATATGATCTTCTGACCTTTTTTTTGTCTCCTTCTAGTTTGTTTTTTTTTTTTTAAACTCCCTAGGATTTCAGGATCTGCTTGTGGAAGGGGATAGGATGCTTGGTTGGTTGATGGTGCGGTGTCAGTCTAGCATGACAGCTTTCTCAGCTGAGCTGAGATTAGATTGCTTGTTTCTCATCACAGTGTTGTCCCTGTCAGATAACTGTAGTCCAAAGATAAAAGTACAGATTTTAACTAAACCTCGTGAACTTGCAAGTTCCTGGGCACGCACAGTTTCCTGCACTCCTGTGGAAAATCCCATGTTTTTTACCGCTTTCCCAGCCCACAGGAAGTAGGGAGCAGCAACAAGATGATAATTCAGCTTACAGTAGTGTGAAGTGTCTGTGTTGGTAAAGCTTTCTGCAGAGCAGACTTTGGTAAAAAGACATTAAATTCTTGTCTGCGCCTGTAGCTATAGGCTCATGGAGGCATTTATAGCTTTCAGGGGGCCATCATGTAACCATCTTCTCTCCTCTGTTTTTTCCAGAGAAGAGCCAGAGTTATTTTGAAAATAAGCAAAACTTGGTCCTGCTGTGGGAGCTGGCATAATTGCCAGCTTTTGCAGCTCAGCAGGGCTTTGTGTTACAATCTGAAGTGATGCTCATGGAGTTGCTGGAGAGGCAGAGAGGACTGCGTTCTTCCAGCTGATCTTCAGAGGCTGGAACTGGGATGCCAAAGTTTGGTACTGGGATGCCAAACGCTCCTTTTGTTTGTTTTTCCACAGTCATTCTCCAGAAGTCAACAAGGCTCTGGCAAGTTCTCTGAAAAGGAGAATCAAATTCACCAGCACTTGTTGAGATAAGAACTAAAGGCACCTGGCTTTCAAGTGTATGAGAGGACCCTTTGAGTCCTATCAACTGCTTTGACTGAAAATATCTTTTTTCCTGTCCTAGGTTAATGGAGACAGCAAAAGAAATGACCAGGGAGTCCTTACCTATCAAATGCCTTGAAGCAGTTATCCTGGGGATGTATCCTTTCACACGCCTGTGGCTTTTTCCCCTGCAGCGCTGTTTAATGTATTACTGCCCTTTGGGGATGGTGTGTGGGATGGTCACAGCCAAAGGTGAGTGCCAGTAGCTCTGGGAGCTGCCGTGGTATTGATCGGCAAGATGCCAAATTGCCTGGGTTTGCCACTAGGAGCTTGGGTGCCATGTGCCCAGTTCACAAGTGTCACACACTGGCCGTGCCAGCTTTGCCTCCTGCCCTGCTAATCTGTGTAATGTCAGGAGCTGACCCAAAGTGCCCATTTAAGTATCTGTCTACACAATCCCTGTTTTCTTTGTGTTTCTCTGCTGGTTATTGTTGGAGCTTGGTAATGCCTCAGCAGCGCAGGTTCTGTCTTCTCTTTGTCTAATGTTTACATGGCAAAGTCGTGTTAGTTTTTGTCTCTCAGCCCACAGCTGTGCTTTGTGCAGAAACATGTGTATTATAGTTAAACATTTAAGCTTTACCTTAACATAATGCTTGCTTCCTATTCAGTCTTAGAAACAAAAACCAAGAAAATTTGCCTTTAGAGACTGCATCGCTTCTTGACCCTTTTGTGCTGTCACTGATAAATCAACCTTCATCATTCTAAAACACTAGGGGAGGGCAAGGTAGGGTTACAGGAGTAATTGTATGCCAGATACGTCTTACCACCACTGATCAAGTTTGATTTTAAAACCAAAAAAGTACCCCGACCCGAAATAAACCCCAAAGCAAACTAGCTTTTGGCATGTCTCTGCAGTGTTTCGCTTGCTGCTGCTGCCCCCTCTCGTGGGAGAAGCATCTGGCAGAGCCCGGCAGGTAGTTCCTGGTGTTGGCTCATGAGAGAGGGTGGCTGTTGTGGTTTGGGAAAGGGAGGTGGGTTGAGCAAGTGTCATGTGTGGTATGTGAGTCTTGATGCTGGATGCGGCCCCCGCTGTGCACCAGGCCCTGCTCACAGCTCCCCCGGTGCCAGGGATGAGGCGTTAGGTCTGAGTCTGAAAGGTGGCTCTGGCTGACAGGGCTTCCTCTGCAAATGCTGGCAAGGGTCTGCTTGCAGCTAGAAGGGATGGAGTCTTGGGGGCTTGGTGTCAATAAAACTCAAACTGGTGGTCTCCCAGGAACAGAAATTGTGTCAGTGAACCTGTTGTGCTTGCCCTTGTGTCAGGGTTGTATCCCAAACTATTTGAGCACCAGAGGGATGAGGGAAATAATCCCCAGATGGAATTGATGCTGCTCTGCAGTATTGATAAGTATCAGCGTGGCTTCTAATGTTGTATTTCTAGCACTGAACCAATTACCACATACCACACGAGCAGAGTGTGATTAGTGGCATACAGATGATCATGGTAACTTAAAAATGTTCTTGCTGGTACGAAGTTTCAACTCTTTTATTTTCATTTGGAATGAGCACTCTTTCTGTTTGCCTCAAACTTGACTCTTGTTCAGATATTTATTTTTTTTTGGCATGATGGGGGAAGCAAAATAGTTGAAAGCTGTGTTTTATGCTATTTGGTGTTATCTGGAGTTTCTTTGCCATCCAGAGGGACATGTGCAGAACCTCATGGTGCTGTGCTTCACGTGCACCATGTGGGTTTTTGGGAGGCATCTTTGTAACAGCACGCGGGGAAGTTTGCTGATTTTTCTCAGCGGTGAGATCTCGATCTTCAGCAATGCCCTCCGTTTGCTGACACGGTGAGGCCAGCAGCTGTGGTTTGCTTTCCAAGGTCAGGCAGATAACAGATAAGAGATGTGCTTACCCTCTCCTGAGTGTCAAACCAATGTCTTCATGAATCCCTGAGCCTGAGCATTCCTGCGTGTGTGTGTGTTAACCTCTGGTTCCCTTCTCTGTCTCTGGAAATAAGGTACTGCTTGCAATTTGTGTGCTGGCAGGCTTTGCCATGTTGCTTGGATACTGGAAAGAGCACAGCCCACTACAGCAGACCCTCGGCATGAGCCTTCATTCAAAGGCCGACTCGCACAGAGCAGCTTAGCAAGATGTCATTTTAATTGAGCTGCTTGCTGGCTCGTGCCATTGCCTTTTACCATGCAACTTCTTATAAAATGCTTCTGTAATCCCTCTTGGTGCCGAATTAAATTTTACATAATTGCCTTTGTGCTAGATCTTGAGGCGTTTTTATAGAGCAATGAGTTAAAATGCTGAGCTACCCTGTCTGTGTGCACCAAGGGAGCAGCTGCTGTGAGATGACCGAAAGACCATACAGATATTCCAATATTATTTTGCAGCAATCTGCACAGATCTCTGTGTAGCTGTCTGAACTGGCTTCTGTTTTCTGCTCCTCACTGCACTGAGGAGCTGTTTTCTGCTCCTCAGTGCCTAACCAGAGGCATTCCTCCTGCTGTCTTCCCTGGGGCATTGCTCAGTTCAGTTGTAAATCAGCTGAGTAATGGTGCGTTCAGCCCCTTCTTTCTGAGCAAGGATTGAAATGAGTTCTGCTCAGGAAAGGGAATAGTCAACCAAAAAGTGCCAAGGGAATTTTAGCCATGCTGTATTCACTGTATTAAAATGGGGATGGAGAGGGAAGCGGCACGATGCATCCATCCTCAGGGAGTCTTGCAGAGCGTGACTGTGTGTCGGGTGAACATAACTCACTCCCATTGCCTTCAGTGTGCTTCTCCCAGTTCATGTGAGGTAACGATCAGACCCGTGCAGTGTACTAGACCTCCCCCCCGTCCAATAACGTCATTAAATGAGGAAGAGGAGAGCAGAAATGCCTTATGAGGGAGACATGATTTAATAGCTTCTGTACTATGCCTTCTGTGCATTTAATCAGTGGATGATGTTTATCACCGCTGGAGACCCGGGCCCATTCTGCTCCCCCTGCCTAGCCCGTACATCCCTGGGCTGGGAGCGAGTGTTTTCAGTGAAGGGGAGAGTTTGTTGCAGTCATTGAAGGATAGTGATGTCCCCACAGTACACCTCTTTGTCTCCTGCATGCTTTTCCACAGCTCAACCCGCTTGTTAACTGAAATACGGGCAAGGAAAGTCCTGCTGAGTATCTACAGCCCTTCTGGTAGCTGGGAGAGAGCTTTATATTCTCTTCCATTGTCACCAATCTTAAGCTAATCACCTCAGACTGCAGCTGGGCACTGGAGTACAGACACCTCAAAATAAGTGATGCTGGCCTACTAGTCCTGCTTTGGGAGGCTGAGCCAGATGCTCGAGCTGTTCCTTCTGTGGGCACTGGAGCTGCGGACAGGAACATGGGCTCTCTGTGCAGACAACATCCACATGTGGGCTCGGTAGCACTCTGCCTCATGGTAAGCAATCCCAAACCTGAGATCTCAGCACTCCCGGAACTTGTGGGACATTCCATTGGACTCGGTTGGAAACTTACCCAAGTGTTTACAGCTGGTGGTTGGAGGCCCTCTGACGTCGTGAGCGGTTGCTTGGAAAAATAGCTCTTCTGTTTTTGCTGAAGCTTCATTTGATGGTTTTGAAGCCTTAGGTTTATTTTACTCCTGTTCCACCTCCTCACTATGAGTTAGTGGCTTCAACACTGCTAGCGTAAATAAAGCTGCCTCCTTGCTCCCCTCGGCCCTTGCAAGCAGCAGGAGAGGAGGGGACCAGACACCCTGTGTCTTTCTGTGCTTATCTCATCCAGACTTCAGCACAACACACCTTTGCTGGGCTCTAAGACATGAAGCATTGCAATGTCATCTTGTCTGAGTTAAATAAGGGAGAATTTCAAGCTAATAAATAACTAACTGGTTAGCACAAGCACTGCAATGGGCTCTCATTTGCTCAATATCAGGTCCATCTGTGTCTTTGGTTTGCAAGGCAGAGTGGGACTTGTAGTGGAGACACCAGAAGGTGTAGGCGTGATGCTGGGTCTTCCAGAAGCTGGAGGAGAAGCACTTGTGACTGGTCACTGGGACAGCTGGGTGCTGGGATGTGCTCGAGCATCAGCGTTGGCAGGCTGGTCTGGTCAAACAATTGATGCTGGCACTTGAACTCTGAAGCCTGAGAATGTCTTGGTTTGTTTCAAACTCTGCAGGGCTGCGCTGCGCTCTTATGTTTGGGCTTTTTTCCTTCAGGGCTCTGAGGAGGAGGGTCTTCCCAGGTCCCCTGCCCCTGGAGATCTCTGCAGCTCTGGGTCCCTGTTGGTGGTGCTGCAGGGAGGGGACACAGGGGACACACTTGTCTCCTCACCTGCTGCTAGTGCATGAACTAGCACAGTCGCTGCCTGTCAGCTTGGCAAAGCCACCAGGTTTTTTTCCCCCCCAGCTATAATGCTGTTGAAGATGGTTTAGATGCAGGTGGGCTGAGGTCCTTGCAGCATGTCCCCTCGCCTCCTGTTCAGCTGGCTGCGAATTGTAGCAGTGGTGGGAAAATTGCTGGTGACAAGTAACCTGAGCTAAGCTGGCCATGGGGAGCCAGCTGCTGTCCAATGGGTGCTATCAGCTGTTAACACCTATTTCCAGAAATATTTGAAGACCAGAGCCACCGTGCTGACACATGGAAAGATCCTGCTCCAGTTAGTTATTAATAATACAAAAAGAAAAAAAAAAAAACAAGGCAAGACAGAACATTTTTTCTAAAAGTTGCTCCTGGCAAATAACAAGGTGGAGGGCTTCAAGTGCCTCTTCTGGCTGGGAACTGCTCTGTGCTCTGCAGTGGGGGCACCTGTGTAGGGAACGATCTGTACTGAGGGGAAGGTGCTGAAACTTCTTCGATATTAGAATTCACCAGGTAGGGAGAAAAAATCCTCAAAATCCATCAAACAAACCATAGAAGGGCATTGGTTGAGTCATTGTGTGAGTGTGCAGATTTAAAGAAAACCTATCCAGATTCTTTCTGCTCCAGAGTTTTAAAACCAAGGTGTCAACTCAGCTAACACCTTAATAATTCTCTCCTTTTTTCTTTCGAACTGACTAAGGATACTGCTCCTCGTTTGTTCCACTGCCCAGGAAGGTCCAGGTGGTGGCCACAGCACAGGTTTTGTGCCCCAAGTCTTGCTTGTATTTGAGTCTGGGATCTGAATGTCTCCCAGGTATCCAAGCTAGGTTATGCGTGAGCCCGGGTGGTGAAGGCGGTGGGACTACAGGAGACACAGCAACCTGCGGCTCAGAGGATGATGTGCTTGTGTTGACTTGCAGATCTGTAGGAGCTGCATGCTGGCATGGGAAATCTGGCCCTCTCTACAGGCTGCTAGCAGTGTTGGTGTGCTCAACAAAGCCTATGTGTTAATAGAGCCCTACTGGTTTACCCCGATAGCCTGTCACCCCCAAAGCCTGTTGCGTGCTTTGGGCCTGATCCTTCCCTCACTGCTTTGACCCAGACCTGTCTCTTTCAAGATCAGCCTTCTGGCATATGAGAGCAGAATTCATCAGTTGCTTAATACACGCAGCCCTGGCTGGCAGGCATTTGTGTCTCTGTGGGGTGGAATAAATGGCAGTTGAAGGGCCATTGTGAGGCTACAGAAGCTGAGAGTCAGGGTGGGCAGCTTGTGGGAATCCCTGATGGATGCTGGTGGAGCTCTAGGTATCACCCTTGTATATTTCCTGGCTGTGGAGGAAGAGAAGGGATATTGGGGTAAGAGGTGGCCAGCCAGAACATTAGTGTCCCTCTTGTGTGATCTCCAAGGAGATCAGCATCCCTCAGTGCTGTTTTTCTGTTGCTTTGAGTTACACGAGGACCCGGGATCAGGAGGCCACTGAGCTTTCGTTACAGCTGCTTTTGCTCTCCTGCTCTGCGCTGCTTCTGTATTGTGGCACGTAATTTACTCCCTGACTCTCCATCCTGCAGTTACGTTCCCGGCTCAAAAGTGTGATTACAGCTGTGGCATTGCTGTGTCATTGCCTTTTGTTTGCCACAATACAGCTCTCCTTGGGCAGAGCAGAAAGGAAAAGAAATAATAATGATGCATGGACAGAGGGGAAGATCTGATGTGCCTTTCCAGCCCGTTTGCTGTGTATTTCATCTCGGGTGGGGACTCTCATTAACTAGTCACTCAGCAGAAGCAACATGTACCTAAAGGTTAATTTCCGCAGCAGTTGTTGCTGGGTTATTTGATGGTGGGTAATTTCCATCCTCAAAAGATTCTTTTACTCCTACCCAGTATTTAATGAGATTAAATTGCAACTTCTCAGAGACCTCGTGGCAGAAGTGTGTATGGGTGGCAGGTGGCCACCAAAGCTTTGTGTGGACTTAATAGAAAGGCACTCAGGGAGCAGAGAGAAAACCCTTTCATAATGAGGGGGAAAAATAGTGGCGATGTTTGAAAGCTTCATAGGTGTTAATAAAAGATACTGCTTTTTCAGTTACACGGAATGATAAATACAATGGGCTTCTGCAAGAATCTGTCTGTAGGACACAAATTATTGTAACATGACTTTGATGCACGCAGGATGCTCCTTTTAAGGCCTGGAGCAAGGTGACCTTTTAAATGAGATGACTGTGGGCTGAGTTTTCCAGTTGATATAACGGTGCTGGGCCCCATCCTGACCTTGCAGTGTATTTATAATCTTTAATTCTGCCAATGGTGTGGGGTTTTTCTTGTAGGAGCTAGTCCTAAGGCAACAGTGACCCAGCAAGACCAAGGAAGGCAGTAGAGCTATTTCTGTTCCGTGTCAGCATAGTTGGTATCGGGGTGGGCTTTGACAGTGGCTGCAGGGTGCTCGTGTTTGGTGTCGGTGGGGCAGTGGGTGGGCAGAGGTGGGCACACGTGGCCTTGGCTGGGTGAGGGGCTGTGTGCGCGGTGGGGAGGTCTGTGTTCTGCTCCCCAGGCTTGTCCAGACTTACCATCGTGCAGATACTGGCGTGCAGCAGGAGCTGAGCCCGTGGTGGTGTCTGTTCCTATACCTTCTAACACATTTTCTCCAGACTGCTAAAGCTGATGACATCTAGCACTGAATGCAATTAGATATGTTTGACGTTGAACCGAAGAGCTTCCCTGTGGCTGTTCTTAAAGATTTTTGCCAATGTGATTTTCTTGCCTTTTTTTTTTTTTTTTTTTTTTTTTGTGGTTGTTTTTTCAGCCCCGGTCCCGGGATGCTTTCGGTGGCTACTGGCCGCCCCTCCGGGTTGCCCGGCACCGCGGGGGTCGCCGCCTTCTCACCCCCTCTCTGGGGTATCCCGATGCTCACACCGAGGAGGTTTGGGTTTGGTTTTTTTTGGTGTTTTTGTTTTTTTTTTTAACCCTGTCCGAAAAGGTTATTTGGGATCTTTCATTCAGCTGTTCGAAGGACACTTTTTCCCTGGTGGAGAGGACAGGGATGGGGTGGAAGGGGACTCTCCCTCAGCAGTATTTATAGATGATATTTTCCTCTTCTCTGATTTTTTATTTTGTTTTTTTTGTTTTTTTTTTTTTTTTTTTTTTGTATGGAGGTTTGATTCATTGCTCTTGACATCAGTTTCTGGGCAGTTGACAAATGTCTTACTAGTGGGTTTCACCTGGAAGGTAAAAGTGTGACGATGTGAAATTGAACAAGTGTCAGGTGGGTGAAAGATCCCTGTGAGAAAATGCTTTAGAGATGGATGAGAGCTGGTGATGCTTTTCCTGCATCTCTGTAGAGAGAAGAGGTGAAACGTGGGGTGCGTGCAGGGGGTCAGCGTCCTGGGGAGTTGCACTGGTGATGAGGTGAGGTGTCAGGCTGGGCAAAACTGAGTCCCAGTTGTGTTTTATGGTATTGGTAGAAGTACAAAGGCTTTTTGTGCTCTCAGTTTCCCAGCAGCTGTCGGGCAGTCGTGTGAGGCAGACAGGGGAGGAAGGCTGGATGCGTAACATCTCATGGGAATCTGGGCTGTGCAGTGGCTCTTGTATCACTGCTGTTAAGGACCTCCTTTTTGGGCAGGGGTTGGGGTGAGGAGGGGATGCTGGAGATCCCCAGAGCAGAACCCTGGTCTGTGCTGGTTCCCTCAGCTCCAGAGGGGACTGAGCCCACTCCTCTGTTCTTCAGCCTGCCCTGGTGCTGCACTGGCAGTGCTCCCCCTCGGGCCAGTGGCATTGCTGGGACTGACTGCCTTCAGCACGTCTGCGTCCGGGGATGGCTCTTGGGATTACAGCAGGTGCCTCTGGATGGAGTTACCCCAGGCTGGAGTGTCTCGCTGCAGCCTTTTCTGGTCATCCCTCCTGCATTCCCTGGGCATGGGGGGTGGTCTCAGCTGCAGAGGGGAAGGACACCTGCTGTCCCCAGGGCCGGGTGTCAGCACCTGGAGCCAGGGTGGGTTTCAGCTGTCCGGGGATTAGCAGCAGGGAGCTGCCTGCAACGTAGGTGCTGACGCAGACCCGCTTGCGTGAGGGAATCTCAGTCTCCCTGGCAGGGGCTGGCAGCCTCCCCAGGAGGTGACCCGGGACCCAGGCGTAGTTCCCCTCTGAGATCACCTACTACGCCGTGACGGAGCTTGGCCCTGGCCTCTGCACGTGGTGTGTTTGAAATGGCCAGCCACTGATTCAGGGGACACGGTTTGCTTTTTGAAAGCATTTGTTCTTCACCGTGTCTCTCTGCTTAACTAATTAATTATCCGCCTGGGAGCTTTGCTTTGTCACAGCAATGCATTATAATGGTAACACGCAAAAACACTCTTGTAGGAGGAGTGGCTGTGCCAAGGGCCAGTTTACAGATGGAAAGGCAGACTGTCACCCTGGACTGGTATGAATTCAGCTTATTTTATACTGGTTGAAGATGTGGGAAAATGGGGAGCAGTAACCCGAGTCGTACCAAGCTCCAACATGGGTATTTGATATTAGTATCGAATGGGGGAGGTCCCACAGATCTGGGGAGCGTGGGTTCTCTTCTGGTGTGCTGACCCAAACACTGTTGTGGTATTTTCCTTCCCCCCGAGAATGGTTAAGAGTCAGGCCCTTCCCTGTCTGAACCATTTTATCTTATTCTCCCAGCAGTGAGATGGGCTTTGGCAGCATTGACTGTTTCTGGGGCACAGCGAGAATTAATTTGTGTCTGCAAGAAAGCGCTTGTACCGGCAGTTAAAAAAACCTCCTAAAGATGTCTTACAGGTGTAATTGTGCATGCTCCCTTCCCAGTGCTGTTGTTGCCTTGACGCAGTGCACACCAGATACTTAACGAACGGGCAGCCCTCCGTGGAACGATTCCCCATCAGCTTTAAAACCCACTTCTCAGGGAACTATTTTCATCATGTGGTGCTCGGGATTTACTGCAACGGCCGGTATGGCTCGCTGGGCATGAGCAGACGATCAGATCTGATGGACAAACCTCTAACTTACCGAACTCTGAGCGACCTCATCTTTGAATTTGAAGACTCCTATAAAAAGTACTTACATTCAGTCAAAAAAGTAAAAATTGGACTATACGTCCCGCATGAGCCGCACAGTTTTCAGCCCATCGAGTGGAAACAGCTGGTCCTCAACGTATCCAAAATGATGCGCACAGAAGTCAGGAAGGAGCTGGAGAAGTTTGCCCGGGATATGAGGATGAAGGTAGGTCTGCACACCTGGGCAGTGGACTTGGAGGCGGGTGTGCCTGGTCCCAAACTACAGAGGTTGGTCTTGCTCCATGCCAGCAGGCTGACCCCAGCCTGAGGTTAAGGTGGTATCAGGTGCTTACATCTGTCTTGGTGGGTTTCCCTCAGGGTTTGGTGTGAGTTCGAGCCCTTGTAGCTATTTTTTAGTTCAAGGATCTCCCATTCGGCCTGGAAAACACTTGAACTCGTACTTGTGCCTGGTCATCAAGGAGCTATTACCCAGTTTACTTTTCTCTCTGGAAGAAGGTGGCTGGGAAGAACCAGTGTGCCTGGGGCTGATGGGGAGGGTGGCCTGGTTACAGGTAGGGATCCCTGCTCTTTACACTTGAGCTGCAAGGGGTGCCATGGGACACCTGTGTCAGTGCTTGCTTCTCCTTGGATGGCATGCTGGTGGGCTTACCCTGCCCCACCTGATGCCCACCAACCTCAGCTAAATCACAAAATTGGTTACATGGGAAAGGTGAGGGAAGCAAATCCCTGACAGGCTGTCGCTGCCTCACTGGCTGGTTGGACTGAAGAACCTGGAGGGAAATGACGGGGAGACAGGGCAGGCTGCCCAAAAGCTGGAGGGTTTGGCTGCCCTTGTGGATGAGGGGTGTCCCTGACCGTGCCTCTAGGGCTGGCGTGGGTGAGGAGCTGGTTGTGGTCACGGTGGAAGGGGATTTGGTGCCTTTCCAGCCTGTTGCTGGCAGCAGGAGCAGAGCAGGTGTGTTGCTAAGTATGGGGCTGGCTCTTGTGGAGAGGCATGCAGCATCGCGTCCAAGTTATTCTGGGTTCCCCTGCCCTGCTGAGGAATGGCTCCTACGTAGCAGCCACGTGCCTCTTTCACTGGGGCACCTGCCCTCTCGCCCTGACCTTGAGACAAGTGTCGCCAGTGGCGTTGTAGCCCCCATGTCCTGCTGCCACCTCTCCTGCCTTGCCAAGGAGTTTTGAGGGCCAACTTGTACCATACTGTCACCTTAAGCTCATGTGCTTGATTGCAGATGTAATGAAGCTTCTCCCCCCCACCCCCCGCCATCTTCTCTATTCATGCACTTTTAATACCATCTAGAGAGCAAACAGGCTGCAGTTGAAGAAGTCTGTATGTGTAGCTGACTTACTGAACTTAGTACTTGCTTTTAATAGAGGGACCAGCTTTATGTGTGAGCTGAGCTGTGACATTGGGTCCAGTCCTTGTAAGTGCCTCAAGGCCAGGACCACAGCCCTGAACCCTTGAAGGCTGAAGGCCCTGCATCTGACGCTTCCCTGTAGTTAATTCAGAATGGGAGCCACTTGATTCAGAGGGCTCCTGTTGTGAGGGGGCTGACTTTGGAAGATGAGGTCTTTAAAATAGCCTGGAGTGTGAGTGTCATGCTGATGGACTTCAGAGGGATGCGGGCAAGTGTATGTATGGACAGGAGACTTACTGAAAAGTCCCACTGTTGCAGAGTTCAACGGCCAGGCTGAGAGGCAGTCGCCTCTGTTTGCAGAGAGGAAGGCTGGAGAGAGTGATTTGGCTGTGTGAGTTTCCTTCAGCTGAGGCTGAAAGCTGTTTTTCTTATCTCTTGCTGTTGCTAACTCTGAAGAAACCTCTGGATAAGACTCTCTTTTTCAGTATTTAGCTGGAACTGAATTGGTGACACTAACTAACTTTTGCAGGGGGCCCCTGAAGAGTTATCACGTGGTAACAGCTTTGGGTTCCTCTCAACCTGGGCAGGGTTTGAATAAGGCCCAAGGGACTGAAGGCTCTTTGTGTGCCGTCCCTGCTACTCTATGAGGCCCTTTATTTTTATTTTTTTATTTTCAGTGAATCATTGCCTTTATTGAATGCCTTTTCCTTCCCTCCCCCATCTCTTGCAGATTCTGAAACCCTCAAGTGCCCATTCTCCGATGAAAGAGAGATCACGGGGTAAGTCGTTGTCCCCTCGGCGAAGGCAAGCCAGCCCTCAGAGACGGGCCTGCAGAAGAGACAAATCGTGAGTATTCCTGCTGCTGGTGGGTCAGAAGTTGAGGGTGATGACGTGTTATTTTGCTGTACAAAACTTATATGCATGCACTGGCATGTATAAGAAAACTGCACCAGGTATCTCGGTTGCCTGAGAGGCTCCAGAAGCTTCTGGTACTGGTGATGTCCTGGCATAGCTGTGCTTGCTGCTGCCCAATGGCCCCTCCATGTGCTGTCCTTGGAGGCACCTATGGTCTTTGCTTGGTTAAATTCCACTTTCACAGTCATCCAACACCCTCTTCTTTTTTCAGTCTTTATACAGTCCACTTTCTGGAGAAGTGAACCTAACCTGGCATGCAGGGGACTTGTGCAGGAGGGCAAGTAGTTTGATCACATTTAAGGGTGTTCAGACACAGGTATTAAACAACAGGGGAGCATAGCTGGTAGTGGTGGTGGGGTGCCCTGCTGCCATGGTCACTCAGAAATTGGATTCTCTGTCATGAGTCTTTTACAGAGCTGTTCAGATGGAGTGGTTTTCGCTGAGGACCGTCCAACTTACAGGGGTGGTGACAAAATAAAACTTCTCTCTTCTTGCCAAAGCAGAAACATCACTTGCATTGTATTCTTTGATTTTAATCGGCTTAAAAAAGCCCGGAGCACTTTCCTTGTGCGTCGTAGCTAATAGTTTTTCTTTATCTGTGTGGGGAAGGATGTAGTAACTGCGTGTAACACCTCTACATGGATAAAACTGAGCTTCCACGTCACAGACCTTTTACAGCCACTGGCAATTCAGACTCCCATACCTTGGGTGTGGAAGAGTCGAGCTTTAGCTTTACTGCTTCATGCCAGGAAGCTGACAACTGTGAAACCCATAACCCAGATTAGTCACATATTTATGATCATCGCTTTTAAAATAGGCTCTCAGACTACTGTCTCAGCACTTATTTATTTATTTTAAAGCAGCTAACAAAGACATTAGACTAACCTTCTAAAGATAACTTCAAGATACTTTAGCAGCAGATGATTTCACAGCACGCTTTTATTTTTACATGTGAATTCGCACTCAGTCCACAATGCTGTGCTTTGGCCTTCGTCACCGAGAGCTCCTTGTTTAGTGCATGGATAATTATAGTTGTAATGGGCTCGGCTACTCCAGGCTTCTTCAACTCCTAGATTTGCTCTGAGGGATGGTTTCATTTTTGGATTTCTGACGGTGCTTCTGCAGTTGCTGGGGTGGGTCATGTGCATCTGGAGAGACGGGTGAGTCTTGCTGGGCTTGGAGGCTGGCCAGTTGGGCTAGTTTCCCCGAGAGAGCTGCTCATGTGGCTGCTCTGCTGTGGTGGTTCCTCCTGGGCAGCCTAGCTCTTCCAGGACAGAAAGACAAGTGAAGTACTGCTGGCCTTGCTGTGGCTTCAGCACTTGTTACCTGCTTGGTGGTTCTGCTGTATTGCTCTGTGTCTAGAGCACATTATATGTTATTCTAAAATAAACCCTGGGTCACCATGATACAAGATCCAGGACCCAGCTGTAGCATGATGGAGGGAGCGAGAGACTGAGAGCAAACTCCACACACAAGGTCTTAATTTTTGCTTTGGTGGAAGGTGTTGAAATGTCTCAGAGCAGGTGAGAGCTCTTGCAGCATGTGCTATGTGGCTGCGTGACAGCACTGTGGGCCCTGCGCAGCCCCCTTGCAAGCCTGGCTGGTATTCTTGGAAGGAGAAGGGGAGTGAAGGAGCTTTCGGCAGGTCCAGGACCCTTGAGCAGACCCAAGAGGCTGCTCACTGTTAGAAAAGTGATGCTGGGGAGAACAACTGGGTTCCTGATGTTAAAATGATGGTGCTTTGCAGTGGTGCTGGTGGCTTGAAGGCTGACTGTGCCTTTTGCCCCAGCAGGAGTGATGCTGCAGAGGAGTGCGCTGCTGTAGGGAGATACCTTTTGTTTCCAAAATCGAGATCTGCTGGTTTCTGCAACGGCAGGTCTCCAAGATCTGAGGGGGGAATGGCATCCCTTCATCAGGGATGAGCTGCGTGACGCAGACCAGTGTGTACAGTGGTTGATGTGGGGTGAGAAATTCCAGAGGGGAAACTGGGAATTTTCTTCTGCATGTTGATGGGTCTCTGAGAACCTAGTTGCAGTGAGAGGCCTTTGTGTTACACACAGGAGAGGAAAAACTAGGCTTTAGGCTGAAATCTTAGCTAAAGAATGGCTGTGCTTATCAACACTGTGTTTTGTTTCTTTGTGGATCTCTTACATGCTGTAATTACAGCTTTCTCAAGCTCGTAGGGGAGGGGGAGAGCAGTGTTTTGCTCTAGTGTGAGCTGGCAGGGGCTGAATAACACATTCGCTGGAGAGGCTTCACCTGCTGATGACAAGCTGTTATTACAGCCTGGTTTTTGTCAACAATAAAATTATCCAGGCCTGCTGGGAGAAATCTCCCGGTGAAAAATACATGAACTGGAATGGTGAGCTGAAATGTCTTTGGATTGTTTCTGAAGGACAAAGGCTGAAGCGGTGCTTAAGGACAGAAGTAGATTTTATAGCCTCAACCCTTTAACTTCTCATCCTGGTTCCTTACTAGTTTATTAGGTAAATTAGTGGTTGGTTGTGGCCTCTAGCAAGCCCACAATAGTGTTTTTAGCCTGGAAATACAGCTACAAGGCAGATGGTGTGTTGCAGGACATGGTGGCAATGCGATAAGCAGTACGTGCCTGTCTAGGGGATGGGTGTGTATTCAAATGGCAGCTCATTAACTGAGCTATATAATGTGCTCTTAGTGGCAGCTGATGGGTGGCCAACAGATAGGATGAATAAAGAGGATGTAGGGTGGTGTGAATCTGTCTGGTAAGTCTGAAGCTTTACTGTGTCCACTTGTCCATCCTCTGAAGTCCCAAAGCAGGAGGGTGCAGTAAATCAGAAGCGACTGTGCTGGAACAGGCAACACAGTCCTTTACCCTTAACAAAAGTGCTTGGAGCTGGAGGGGTTTGGGAGAGTTGATATGAGTTTGGAATGGAGCATCGTGTGGCAGCCTGAAGCAATCTCTGCTCCTAAATGTCAGCTCACCAGATCTATTTCCTTTTAATTTCATGTCGAGGCTTAACACATGCATGCTCTGTGAGTGTCATAGCAACACTGGCCTTGGGTGCTTCTGGCCTGATTGAGCTGTGGAAAGGAAAATGGTTTTAGTCTGTTATATTAGGACATGCAGGGGGGCAGGATGATATCAGGATTAGACTATATTAAATGTGTAAGATCAGGCAGATCCAATGCAGACAACTGATGGACACCGTGTACCCAGGAGCTACACACAGCTTATTCACCTCCTCATCATCACGGCATTTTGGGGAGGAGGTGCGATCTGATGGGCCAGTACAGCAGAGGTCCCTCACCTCAGAGGGGATGTTTGACGTCAGGTCATTTGCCAGCCAAGGTGAATAAGGGCTGTGGTGCCTCTGCTCCAACAAATCCTTTTCCTAAAACCCTGAAGAGAAACCTTATGGAGGACAGTCTGTTTGTGGCCACAAGCTGGAGAACAGTCATGGAGTGGAAATGGGCATGTTGCTGTGAGAGTGCAGTGACTCCCCACCTCTCTTGGATAATCAGAGAAGGTCGAACCATCCAGGTGTGCTTTAATCAAAAGCATATTCTGACTTTAATTAAAGGGAAGGAGATAAAAGGTGGGAAGGGAAAAGGATCCCTAAATTTGAGGGAATAAGGAAGGACACTCTGGGAATTTCATACAGTGCATCTCTTGCTGGACTCCTGTGCAAGCTCTGGGGGATGGAGCTTGTTTTCTGGCCAGTCAAATCCCATCTGCTCTGAAGGAATAAAGTGGAAAAAATCCAAACTGCTATACATAGAGTTCTTCAGGTGTGATCCCTTCCTGCAAGTGAGAGAGACCAGTGAAGACACCTTCCCTTCTGTGAAGTACTTAAAAACAGAGAAACACGAGGCAGAGCGCAGGGCAGTACTGCAAAGAGGATGATGAGGTTATTAATAGAGGTGCTTGGATAAGTGGCAGAAAAACAGGTTGCATTCAGTGTGTGACTGGGCAGAAGAGCATTAGTTGTCCCTAGTGATGTCCCCAGCTCTCAAACGCTGTGCAAATTCTCAGCAGAGATCTGGTGTTAGCAGCTCTGCTCTTAAAACATCAAAATTCACTTACTGTATCAAAGAATTCAAAACAGCCGTGTTTTTGCAGGGACACAGAGGTGCTGTAGGGTCTAGGAGAAGAAACGTGTATTTTAAACAATGTCTTTCTTCAGAAAAGCAAACATACGGTTTAGTGTGAAATGCGCTAGGAGCCTGGAATAAGCTCTCAGATGAGACACTTTCACAGACTATACATCAGTAGGATTGTTGTGGTTTGACAGCTTTGTTGCAGCAGCTTTTCCATTGCTTGCTAAATAGAGAGACTGATCCCTCCCATCTCAAGGTTTGATTTGGTTGAGCTGTTGCTATACTTCAATGACCCAACAGCATACCTGTGTGTGTAATTACTCAATCAAACGGCTGTATCACAATGTAAGACCCCTGGAGGCTGACAAAGTTCAGCTTGTGTTTTCTGTTTGGTGGGCTCTAGTCCTTGGCACACACCTGGCCAAGAAAAGGCAGGTTTGGGGAGACAACTCACTGTGGCCACGTGACAGGCTTTGCCTGTTTGCTTCTCAGCAGTTTCCACTTTACTCTAAAAGCCGGAGTCCTGCTCTGGGGTAGATCACGGGTGGGAACGTGTCCAGTCTTAGCTTCTCATTTAGGCCCTCTCTCACGTCAGAGGGGCTCAGATCACAGACCCCAGCGTGGGACGAGGTGTTCTTTGCTGGTTCTTCGCTTGGCTGCAGAGACAACCCACCCGAGTAGCTTGGTCACGTTAGTTCACGTGAAAAATTGAGCGGGGTTGTGTTTATGATGAGGAAATCAGACCAACTGAGTCCTGTTTGGAAGCAAAGCGTTCCCGATGTGACCACTGCTCTCTCGGCTCCTGCACGGCCGTGTGGGATTGCTGGTGAGCAGCGCCCTCTCCCCTCCTCTGCTCGCAGGCCTGCCGTGGTGGACAAGAAAGGAGACCTGGCTACGCTCAACGAGGTAGGCTACCAGCTCCGCATCTAACCAAGCATCTAACCAAGCCATACGCCGGACAGAGGGCTTCCCTGGTGCTTCCCGCTGCACTTTACCTGCACTCCGTTGGAAGGAAAAAGGAATGGGACTATTTATTAACTTGTGGACTCCTACAGTAGAAATTTTAGCTAGAAAATAGAAGAGGGCAACTCTTTTTTGGTGGCAGTATTTATTTTATTTGAATTCATAGAGGAGGCATCAGCAAAGAGAACCTAAAATTATGTTTACCAGGATATAAGATTTTTTTTTTTCTTCCCTTCATCATGTAGCAGGTGACTCCAGTGGTGTGAGAGTTTCTTCAAATACGATTTCCTTCTACAATTATTAATTGAATTTGGGCATTGTGCTGGATAGCAGTATTGGGCTAACTAAGAAATCACATTCTTAGTGTTAAGATGTGCTGGGGTGCAGTGCAATTTAAAAAGCAAAACACATTCAGTATTAATATATAATTCAGCAATAAAAACAAGCAGTGCAGAAATGGCGTGAGTTCTTAAAGTATTGACATTACCTCACTAAACTTAATAGATATGCAAAACTCAGTATTATTGTTTTGTAGCTGATTTGTACTGATTCCCAGCATTTCTGGTAGTATTAAAACAGCACTGGATGTTTTACTGCCACCTGTATTATTATTTTGTGCATGTTACTGAAAGATGTTAAGTAATAGTAATATGCAAGTGTATTCTTAAACACTGACATCTTATTAGGCAGGATGTGAGGTTTTGGGTTTTTTTTAATGATGATAATTGATGAATAACGAATTTTTAAACTTTCATAATTTTTTTTTATACTTTGTCACAAGCTTTTAGTCTTTCTGGACTACACTGCTGAAGCACAAACTGTAGAGATTGCTGTTTTGTAGAGACAAGTGTTCACCTACAAGTCAGTTTGTTTCTCGTGTGTGTTCCTGGAATAGTGGCAAAAGTGTCAGCCTCGTTACCCTGAGTCGATGTGCTTTTCTTCCAACATTTGTGTGTGACTCTGAACCTTGTCTTTGAAAGGCTGAGCAGTCTCAGATGGTGATGCCTTGACATCTTATATTAAGATCAGACCTCGCAGGCTGAAGTTAACCTTCCGCCATGCTGCTGTAGGGAGTTTTTCCTATATGTGTTGTAGTAACAACAGCTTAGTCAGACCTGCATAAGGAAGCTTGTATTGGAACCATTTCAGCAATAACTTAAATCGTGTCTGTATGTCTGAAATAGCTGAAAGTCAAGCTTTTCTGCTTCCTCCCTACTCAGTCCTTTTCTTCCAAGACTTTAGCTAAGGACCCGTGATGGACGGCAGTGTTCTCCAATGACGCGGTAAGACTGTCATTGGGGTCCACCCTTTGCATTAGTGAAGTTCTCCAGAAGCATTCAAGTGCTGCATTCCTGAAAATATTTCATTAGGTGCCTAAATAGAAACTGGATTACTGTACAACTCCAGCCTCTACCCTTTGTGCTGTGCTTATAGATGATACTGCCATGGGCCTTGTGTACCTTCCCTCCTGGACAGTTGCTTTTTTGGGATCTCAATGAAGACTGGACATTGTAGGATCGTGACAATAATGCTTACTCAAACTGAATGATTTAAGCTCCTAGAAGGCTTACACCAGTCAGGAAATGAATGAATACAGGAGAAGTTAAGGAATCTCACTTACCTGGGACAGGAAGACAACACCGAGACCCAGCGACCTTCCACAAACAGTGAAAGACTTTCTCCTAGTTAGATTTCAGAAGGTGTAGAAAGAAGACTCTTCAACTGTATTATACTTCTTTATACCAGTTTACCATATCAATTACAGGGAGGCCTTTCCCATCCCTCTTTCTGTACACTTTTTCACTCCTCTGTTGACAATAGGAATTTTTTTGGTTCAGGAGGGAAATTGAAGAGGGAAAATACTCTTTTTGGTAGAAATTCTGCAGAATTTGTTTTAAACTTTGTGCTGCTCAATGTCTTGTGACCTAAATAACTTTTTTCCATGTATTTCTTAGATTTCTCATGGGTAAAATGATGTGAGAAACTTAACTTTGCTCAGCTGTATCGTATAGCACAAGGTTATCTGATCTGTTGCAAGTCTTTTTTCTATGAAACCATGGTTTACTTCTGCTGGAGTAATGGTGATTGGTATATAGTTTTTACCATTGCCTGGCACACTTTGAGTTATTACCTCTAACTTATACTGAAACTTTTTAATGCTGTAGAGGTGCGTGACAAATTGCTTTTGGTTCTTGTTTTGAAGTTCCGCTGAAGTATTCTCTTGAAACTTGCTTATGATGGCATTTGTCTTAAGTGTGGTTCTAGTGACTGTTCTTCTAACTTACTGCAAAGTGGTCAAATAGTGTAGAAAACATGCATGACTTTTTTTTTAATCCCTTGTATGTTTATGCACAGCATGAAACTTCAATAAAATATCATTGTAGTCTTTTTTTAATGACTTAGGGTTAGTTTTAGAAGTGCAAAAAGTACATTTTAAAAACCTAAATATCTGCCTTACTGCAAAGCTGTCATCTTCCTTTGGAAGTCCAGCCTTGCAGCCTCTGCCCTGATTCCACTCTAGGTAACTGAAGAAATTCCATTGCGGAAGTATTTAGATACAAGTGTCCACAGAGCCCCTTTGTAGTAAAAGATTATTTACAGCTCATTATTAAGTGTTACGCAGATGAACTCACTCCCCTTTGCTTGAAGAAGGACACAGTTCTCAGAGAATAATCCGTTTTACTATGCTTTACAATAAAAACCATTTACAGCATCTCCATGAAAAATAATGCCATTGAGACTGGCGCAGATGTTTTCCATTATCAAAGAGGCAGCTAATGTAAAATCTTTTCTTTTTGCCTTGAAGACTTCATAAAGTAATTTAAACGTTTTAAAAAAATTTCTTTAAAAAGTCTACTTTACACAACACTAACAAGTCAGCATGCAGGCAAACTTATTTAAACCGGACCAGCAGTGCTTGAATTAACCTTTAAAAAAATAACAATAATCACATGAAGAGAGAAGGTGAAGGTAACTTTACCAACACAAAAAGTCCTTTGGATATTACCGTTCAATAAGCCTGAACTCTGCTAGCAATGGCAGGTGGTCAGAAGAATTATTTTCATTGGGAAGACCATTAACAGTCCAAAGATCTTTCTCTGTTAGAAGTGCCAGCCTGCCAAGAAGTTTCAGACCTCCGTGAAAAGAATCCTCAGCTCCTGGTTCAAAAGAAAAAGTGGAAAAATTCATTATTGTGAGCTAAAAAAAAAAAAAATAATCACACATTCATACATAGCCAGGAAGAGGAAAACAGTATGTCAGAAATAATCACCAGTAAGGTGGTTTGGAAATCGTTGTTTACTATTACGCTCTTAGAGTAGGACTTAAAATCAGTGGTGCTCAAAATACTCAGAAAGACACTACCCTTCCATTTTGCAGAAGGATAAACTGAGGTAGAAAAGTTCATTGTAATTCCCCTGAAAAAGCCTCACACAATCCAGGCCTCTACTCTAGCAGAACAACATTGCTCAACAGAGCTGAGGCTTGCACAATTAAGGATTTTTTGAGAGTTGCTGGTTCACATAACATTTTATTTCTGCATCTTCAAGCGTACAGCTCTGCAGCTGGCAAGCCATACAGGAACTCTTCCTCATAAGGATGAAAGATAAAAGCCTCCTGGCATTTCCCTTCCTAACTGTTCATCATAAGAAAGGGATCTTCCTCCAGTATTTCCCGCTACTTATTTCTATAATCACCTAAAAAAAGAGAAAACCGCATACACACAGAAGAAAAACCGCATCATTGCTTATGGAAGAGGGGAAGATGACTCACAGCCATGCTATTATTACACTACACTTAAAGTATTTGCGTCCTCATAAAAAAAAAAAAAAAAGGCAAAAAAGCAAACCAAAACTGCAAAACCATCATGAGAAGAGTTACAAGCTTTTTCAACTCAAGTAAAGAAATTCCATTGAGACCCTCCCATGACATGCCAAACTTTTAAGACTTGTGAGCTATCTACAGGAGTGCCAGGACTGCTCAGTAGCCCTCGCTCATGCTTTCAGAGCACAGGGATGATGCCGAGCAGGCTCAGTGCTTCCAAGACCAGCAGAAAGGGCAGCTGTAACTTTGACAACAATATTTTCTGTATGAAGGTGATCAGCAGTTTCAGAACTTCCCGGCTGAACCTGGGACTGGTTTACTATAGGCATATTCTACTAAATTGTCCAGCAACTGTTAGAACTCCTCAGATAGTTCAGCAGCTTCACTCCTTCGCCAACAGCCAGCTTTCCAGTCCTCCAACAACCTGCAGTTGTTTACTCCTGCTCTGAAGAAAAGCTTTTTTACTGCAAAGATGCCTTGGTAGCTCTAGAGCACACATCCCCACAGCTCTTCTTCTCTACAGAGAGCTTGGTCTGCACACAGTGACCAACCTCTGCTCAGAGCACTCTGCAACCAGCAATACCAAGCCCTGCAGGACTCTGGTAGATACTGGACACTGCTTTAACAGCAAATCCTGAATAGTTTCTAAGAACTAACAAGTAAAAATTACACCAGTTTAAACTACTCAATGAATTCAAGTTTGGTCCCATTTTGTACTCTAAGGTGGGGTGAAGAATCTATTTGAAAAACAAGTGTAGAAGGAAAAAAGTGCTATAGCTCTGCTGGGGCAACAATATATAAGCAGGTGAACTGGGATTAAATTTTGCACAGGGATGCATTCTGAAATCACACAGCACTGTTAAATCACAGAGCATTCAGAAGTCATTTAGATATTTCTCATAGAATTGTCTAGGTTGGAAGGGACCTTTAAGATCATCTAGTCCAACCATCAACCTAACTGCTAAAAAACCATCACTAAACCATGTCACTAAGCTCTATGTCAACGCATCTTCTAAATCCCTCCAGGGATGGTGCTTCAACCACTTCCCTGGGCAGCCCATTCCAATATTTAATAACCCTTTCCGTGTAAAAATTTTTCCTAATATCCAATCTGAACCTTCCCTGGTGCTACTTGAGGCCATTTCCTCTTGTCCTATCACCTGTGACCTGGGAGAAGAGACCAACCTCTGCCTCTCTACACCCTCCTTTCAGGTAGTTGTAGAGAGTGATAAGATCTCCCCTCAGCCTCCTTTTCTCCAAGCTGAATAACCCCATCTTCCTCAGCTGCTCCTCATAAGACTTATTCTCCAGACCCCTCATATCCTAGTTTTTCAGTCAAAGCTTTTATTTCTATATTGTGAAACGTTTGTATTTGATATTTTACACTTGGCACTTACTGCGCACGTTATGACAAATGAGGCTTTTGTGCACTGACTCAATGAATTTTAACAATCTCAAGGTATGAGTGATGAAGGTGGCCTTTTAACTTCACATACTGAAAACAATATTAATTTGTAAAAATCAGTTGCCATCGACAGCAGGCGTGGAATCCCGGTTTCTTTGTTCCGAGTTCTGCAGAGCCACGTATCAGTGACCTTTGACGGTGGCATGAACCACAGAACTGATGGTGACAAGGGAAGCATCTGTGGATCCCAGCCAGAAATACACCCGCAGAGGTACCGTGTCTTTCTTGCACCATCTGCCGAGTTGTAGCTGCAACTGCAATCAAGAGAGCAACAACTCTCCCAGCAGGGGCCACAGGGGTCATTTGCTTGACAGACATTATATCAAGACTAGCTGAAAAGTAACTTTCTAAGAGAAAGCTCATTTATCAGTTTTAATGCACATCATAAATGGGTGTTCCCCGTTTTGTTGATGAGATGACTGCAAATACTGCTTTGTTTTAGGGCTGGCCACTAACATTTCTCAGGTGCTACCGACGCTGCTGCTTTTCTGTAGCCTCGGCTCTTGTTCCTCTTGTTCCACGCTGAGATGGCAACGACAGGAATGGTCTATTATGTGACAAAGTTTGCCCTGTGTGGCACTACAACTGTGGCGAGTCAACAAGGCCCAGCCCCATTCCTCAGGTAACAGCTGCCATTCAAAGCACTGCCACAAAACTCTGAGGTCCTTCATATGGGTTAAATTATCACTACATTTCCCTTAGAACAGCATCTGAACATTCCCATTTAGCGTTTGTGAAGAATAATTAAAAGCTGGTCTCTTTACCTGGCTGGGCAGTAGCATCGTCGTGTGCTGCAGAATAGAAGATATAATCCACAGTGACAGCGCTTCGGGAGTGACAGGTCGTTACTTCCGGGATCCCAGTTTCAGGAAAGTAATGAGAATAGACTGAAGACAGTTTAAAACAGTGCTGCAATTTTGAAGACAACCTAAAGAGGAATCAAAGAAAATAATTTTATTTTCATGTCTTTCCTAGAAAGAATAAGCAATGAAGAAATACCAAATAATTCCTGGTTACCAAAAAAGTAAATTATCTGAGTATGCAAACTAGCATTTCTCACAGGCCTAAACCTCTAAATGCAAAATGCAGGCAGTTTTTCCAGTAAAAGGCAGATACCTAAGAACCCATCACAACTGGCTTAACTGACACTTTAAATATACGTAGATTTCACCTCCATTTACAGTTTGTAAGATTTCACGTGTCCTCATTCAGCAATCTCTCCCTGACACACGGGTAGAAGTGTCCATGTCCATCAGCTTACACGAAAGCAGCACACTGTGAACTCATCTAACCAGGCCCTTCAGCATACGGGACAATTCTGACTTCTAGGGTTTTTTTTTTTATTCCTCTCCTAAACTAAAGCTATCAAGTATTTTCAAGTCGGGCTACATCTAATCATCTTTCCTCTGCTCAGGCTCCCGTTTTGTCTCTCCCCATCGTCTGTCAACCCATTCCTCTTCACAAAAAACAGGTGAGACAAGATAGGCTGAACTATCTTGAAAGCAAACTGCAAAGCTGCACCTTTGAGCAAAAGGACTCCTCTCTCCCTCCCCAACCATTTGCTCCCATCAGCTCTGCAAATGACACATCCCCAGCTGTTCCTGCCTCACCTTGCACGGCTGCACCTTAGACCCGAGCTACAGCGTGTTCCGGTTACAAGCCCAGCAATTTAAAAAGAAAGTATCAGCATGTCACCTGCCTGACTTGGAGAAGACTGACAAACTTGCCAGCTGGTACAGCACAGAAGGGTGGTAATCTCTGCTCGTTAAGATGAGGTGAAGAACTCCTGCAAGCAGTGTCCAACACATGGCATGCTATGGATTTACACCATAGAATAGGGTTGCCTGTCTTGTTATCTACCTCTTTTCTCATTAATGCCATTACTTAGCTTTTTGATCACCAAAAATCACCAAGTGTATTAATATAACTGTCTGCACTGATACCAAGATCTCATTTCTGATGAGAAATGCCCAATTTGGAGCCTGACCACACAGACACAGTTAGGGCAATTTCCTTCTTCTGTGCCTTACTTTATGCGCCTTTACCGGTTTGGTAAATGCAAATATATTCTTCCTTTCAAAAAGCAGTTATGTTTTCCTTCTCAGCAGTCCAGTGGCAGCTTCCCCCTTCAGTTTAAGCAACACCACACTCCTTCATTACTTCTAGTCTTTTGCTGTTCAAATGGAAGATGACTTTTTGTCAGACAGGCAGATTGGGTTGGGTGAGGACCTTGTATATCCACGTCTAGAATCAGATGCAAGTTTGGTCTAAAAACAAAACAAACCCCCAAAACTAGGAATCAGTCAAGGGCTTCCATGTTTTTCCCCCACACATACTTTTCAGATGCTATTACAGCCTCCTGAGTCTTGTCCAGTTTTGCTGCTTCCAATTCTTCTCCTGCAAAATAAAAATAACATTGAATTCGCATTTAAAAATAAGAGTGGAGGTGAGACCAATATTGAAGAGCTACAGAAAAGAAAAACTACAGAAAATAGTATCTTTAAGTACACTTATTGTTTTGCAGCAGGCAAGACACAATTCACAAAGCTGGATTAAATTATTCTGTTCCGTTATTAAGATCCCCTCCAAAGATTCTTTCAAATTGTGTCCCATTCATTTAAAATTGTTTTTTCTGTCAAAGAAAAAGCGGTGGATGAAAGATGTAATAATATTCAGCAAGGAATCACCTGCTTTTCCCACTTGTTCTATGAAGTGCTTGCACTATAACACATAAACACTGAAGCAGAATGCAGGTTCATGCTACGTACTTGTGCTGCGTTCTTCCACCTCTTTTTTTCCAGTCACAGCACAACTGGCTTTCATGATGAAACACAGCAGTTTAAATATCATGCACCAGCTCCTGAATGACAGTTCCTAATTATTATCTTCTAAAAATTCAAATTTCAAATGCTTATGTGAACAAGTAATTTTACACTCTAATGAGCCCAGCAAGGATATTTTGCAAACTCAAGACTCGGTGTTCTTCCCCCCACTAGAACAGATCAGCTGCATTTCAGCGCTAGCTCAATGATATTTTCGAGGGAGCACAAAATTCAGTGACCTAGAAACTGACCTGCATTTTCTTCTTTTTGTTGCTGTTTTACTTCATATACACAGTTTTGCGAAATACCTAATTTTTTTGGCCAAATTGGAATAGATAAGATTCTTTGTCCCCTTGGAAACTGTTCTTGTCCAGAGACCTATGAAAGACAACATAAGCTTTTTTTTTTTAGACAGAAATCCGATTTAAAAAAAAAATAAAATTGAAACGAGCAGACATTTTTGTCTGTTAAAGTTTTAAGCAAAAAAACACCACAGCCCCCTAGAATAAATCTTGTATAATGGCTCGTCAAATCTCTATAAAAATAATAACAGCCCTTATCAGTAAATCCCCATTGTTTACTTCTATCAAGTTTTTTGCAGTTACCCAATTTTTCAAGATAGTTCTTGTGACACGAAGCTGACAGACTACCAAGAATGCTTTTAGCAACAGAACAGGACTGAAGATATGCAGCTCCCTAGCAGACACTTTATCTTCATGATGCTTTTCCTCTGGGAGCAAGTCAAGTCAAAGCAGGGTTTGACACTACCCACTAGCAACAAACACCAGCGGGGATATTTTTTCATGTTTTCTCATTGTAGGTACTCCAGTTACTTTCTATTAAATAGCATGTGACACATCCAACAGGTACATACAAGAGCTTACAACAAAAAATGACCCAACCTGAAACGGTTCAGGTTCAGCATCTAATTGCATTTTTGCTTTTACAATTATTCTAGCCACTGTAATTCGAGGTTTATCTAAAATAAGAGTCATCTTTCTATATAATACACAGTAAGTATTTGATTAAGTAGTTATTTTATCCTACTTAAAGACTGGGACACTTAAACACAGTGATACAATCATCCCGTGGGTAACTACCTTTCAAGAACAATAAATTTGTTTGTACATTTTTAATTTCAGACTGCTAGAAGCAGATACAAAATCCTGTAAGGCACAACTAATACACACAAGCTTACTTTTGTAACTCCACAGTAACTTTCGCTTTGCAGATTGCATAAAGGGCCCTAAGATTGGTACTGCAATGGAAATAATACAAGCCCAGCTATAGCTATATTTCTCTATAATATATTGCTATATTTTTCTTTAATCAGCATTAACTTTTTTTTTTGGTGAGAAGTGAAAAGCACCACCTACCTTCCCTATAGCAAGTCCTTCATAATTTAGCTTTCCTTCCTTTATGAATCTGTACAACGGAGAACCAGGAACAGAATTGAAGTCACCACAGATGATAATGGGACAGAAGGTACCGTCCTTCTGAAGGGCAACACTAGCGATCTCTGCCAGGAGCATTGCAAGTTGGGTCAGTTTGATGTCCCCTCGCCTTGGGTTGTAGAGCAGATGTGTATTGGCGATACAGATTGCAGCATTAGTTTTGCAGTGAAATTTAGGCTGCAAAAGCAACACCAGTCCAACGTTGTCCCTGTCCAAGAGTGGAATATCACGGCGAAAAAATTCCACGGGGTTTGATGAGATCAGGCTAAATCTGGAAGTTTTGAAGCAAATAGCACAGCCATCAGGTTTTCTCCCCGTTCTCATTTTATACTCACAGTGATACCCTGCAAGAAAGGCAATGAAAAACATAAAATACCACTGTATACAGTTTTTTTTTTTTTTTCAAATTAGAAGAAACCTCACTCTACTTTTCTCATATGGCCATCAACACACAATCTGAAGTACCAAAGACTCTGAAGTTCACATAGAAAAGCAAACGCAAGAGACTTTCTATCCTATTTAGCTTCAGTTTAGATACTACAGGAAACCTGTCTAGTACCTTTTGTGATGTGTAAGCATCTACATAGTTAAAGATACCAGGCATGTTCTTCTCTCCTCATGTGGAAAAAAAAAAGCCAAATCAAAATAACAAAATACTCCACAAGTCACATAAAGTGGACTTGTGTATTGAATTTTTTTCCAGATGTTACCACAATGGTTATTGGAATAATACCAGTGAAGCATTCCAGTCAAAAGTATTAATCACTGTTAAGTCATAAGTCACTGTCTAAAATGATTCATAGAACAAAGATCTCAAACATATTTACATAATTATGTAATTATCCAGTTAGGAGCAAGAGGAAAGCTTTCAACAAGGAAACGGAGACACTTATCAAATGACAGTACTGGAGTTCAAACAAGTCCACCTGAAAATGGCAATTTGTGGAGTTCTCCATTTTATGTAGAGGAGAAACACAGATTTTAATGAAACCTTATGTCGCATTATAGAAGAAAATACCAACAATCTTGAGACAGCATCTAGTTTTTGCCATTTTAAAATGCTTCTCTGCCAAGCCCATGCCATGTGCATTCATGAAGTACAGTCCCATGAAGAGGAGCTCACACCAGTGCTGAAACTGGAGGATTCCCATGCCTCTCTCCCAGCTCCAGGCCACGTGCTCCTGCCGCTTGTTGTGGCACTTACTGTTAGCTCAGGAAGCCAACAGAAAACTAATCCAGGAAAGTGAAATTAGTCTGGATAATATTCTGCTGGACTGGTGGATTTTACCAGTGTAAAGGCCTAGTGAGTGCCAGAACTAGCCCAGGAGAAGGGGCAGGACATGCATCTGAGAGATAAGGAGGGGAAGAGGAAGAGCTGCAGTGAGCTCCATGTCGTCATGTATACCAACAGGAAGCTCAGTTGCCCACAGAAGCCTGCCCTTATAGTGTGGTTTCACATTTCAAGTGGATTTAAATCAGCACTCCCATTCCTCCACCTTCTTTACAAAGGCTCAATGCTGGGAGCCAGACCACCTCCAACTAACTAAGGAAGAAAAAAAGCATCAGTCCAGTGCTGGTCCTTGCACTGCCTCCTCCTGGCATCAGACAAGTGCCAGGAAGACAGCAGGGCCCCAGGACCAGGAGGTGGTGTGGGGCACAACAATCATTAGAGCAGTTCAAACCACCACGGAACCACACCCCCAGCAGCATGTTTCTTATCATAAATTCACATGGGGGAGTGTTAAGATGGTACTAGTATAAGAACTAATGAATACAAGCTGACCACGAATAAAATTCACTGCTGCTATTTGGAAGGTTTCAAGCCAGAAAGAAACATCCCCTAGAACAGCCATCCAACAGGAATACTGGTAGGAAACACTAGGGTAGTTTCAAGAGAGCACTTGATAAATTTATGAATAGGGGTACACAACACTGTGGCAGGAGACTCAATTCTATAACCTAAGAGGGTCTTTTTTTGAAGAAAATAGTATGAGGGGGAGAGAGAAGACAATGTGTTGGTCATAAAAGTTTTGTCATACCCAGGGATTCCAAACTTGACTTGATCTCTGTTCTATAGTGGTCTTCTTGGACTTCTTGTAAACAGAGTACCTAAGGTAAAAGTTTGCAATTAAAAGATATTAGTAAGTACATAAAAATATTACCATATCATATCTCTGTTGGCCAGCCTGTATAGGTTAAAAAAATAAAGAAAAAAAAAAATCAGAGGCTTCTTGCCTCCATAATTCCATGAAAGGATTCAATCTCCTATAGAAAATGCTCCTTAAGATTGCCAAGAGAGCCCCAATTCCTCCTCTGCACCAGGCAGATCCTCACCAGAGTCCCCTTTAGGTGGGCCCTTGGCCTATGCAAGTATAGCTGTTCTTATGTTCAATGCCTTATTTACAGCACTGTACTCAAGTGTGCTTCAGGCACAGACTGAGAAAGATTTACATGAAGAAAAGAAGGTGTTTGAATTATAAAAAAATTGCAGTGTATCAGGAGAACATAGAAATCATGTCAGTAAGACCATTTCAGGAAGTTCTGGACAAAAAAAAAAAGGCAACTATGTGTGGTATGTACTGCAGTTTGGCTTTGCTGTAAGTTCTGACCACACAGAATACACTAATTGTATAAGCATAGATCAAACTACTGTTAAGCATGACAGAACTAAAAGCTCAGTTGGAGTTAACTAGACAGCCCATCTATCAAAATAAAGAACAGCAACGATTTTCTACTCCAGTTTATCAGTTCTTAAGAAATATCCACATCCTTATTTTCTACTCACATCTGCATCCAGCTCCTTGATTTCTTGTAGGATGTTGGGAAATCTGTATGTCCAGATTAACAAGCGCTGTCTGCAGTGCTTGTACAGGTGGGAGTTATCTTCTAACAAATTCTGTGAGAGGATATTGTAGGACATAACTGTAAAATCAAATTTTGCCTCACTTTCTGTATTGCTTTGGTCAGTTTCTTTATTTTCAAAGATTTTCATTGTTCTACCGTGCTGGCAGAAATATTCCCAGTGTCTTTTGGCGCTTCCTGTTAAAAGTACATGAAGCAGAAAAAGTTATGCAATACACCATATGACTGCTTACTGCTCTTCAAAATCATTCTACTGACAACTATTTGTCTTCCAAATGGCTTAAGCAATGCTGAAAGCTTATTTGATTAGCAGTGTTTAAGATGAACTTCATATACACATCAATAACATACAAAACAAAACCACACCCAAAAAAACAAAGCACAAAACCATTATATGCCCCGGATTTCAAACTGCTATGAAATTAGGAAACTGGCATGTTCCAAGTAGACTGCTGCAGTCAGGCTACACCACCCTGCTCACGGTAGAAAGGCTGTCAAACTGGTAAGATAAATCCAGTCTGTTAACATAGTCTTAAACTCCCTTCTGCCACTACCTCCTCGGTGAAGATGCAGTATGTCAGTTTGGGATACATCCTTTAGAGCAGCACATGGGCACCTTGTTGATCTCTCTATCCATGACTGACAAGGGGCTAGGAATGGAGGTTCACCTCTAGGCTGTATGCAGTCGGACAAACTCATCCATAAGCTGCAACAGTGTCCATTACAGTAGTCCCAAAACAGATAATGAACTGGATTTCCATCAGTGAGATTGAGAAATTAAAAAATTAATATGCCTCAGAATTACCAAGAACTTCTGAAAAGGCTTACTTTGCCCTTCTGGCATTCCTAGTTTCACACTTAGTATTGTTACATGAAAGTTTATAAGAATATATCTGCCCATTATTAAGCATCCAATTATTTTTCAGGTACGTATTTCTCCACCTACAAAACTCATGAACAAAGATGCCTTTCAGCCTTTATGTCCCAACTCATCTGAGCGCACGCCGAGGTCGAGTTATCCATGCAATCAACGACTGGCAGACTGCAGCTATAGCTGGTACTGTCTGCCCTATGTGGGTAGTAAATTTCATCACTGTGCTTACATTATTCAGGACTTTATTTAGTATTTGCAATGAATACAGCAAGGCTTTAAGTACTTTTTCTGTAGTGGGAGAGTGCCAACATTGCTCCTTAGCAGGTATCTTTACTTACTGTCAACTTTACAATATGCAAACAAAAGATAACTAGGAAGGACCACGCTGCTGTCAGATAAAGGTATGTCAAAACGTTCTTGCTAAGGGGGTTGAGAAAGGACCCAGCAGTGAAGGCACAGAGCAAACTCCTTTCCTTCAGCTCCTGAAGGTAAGTATGATGCTTCTAAGCCTTATGGATATTTGTCTCCAAAACTCCCTTTGGGATGATGATGGCATCAGTCGCAATGCAAGTTTATTTTGTTAAGGAAGTGATTTATGCAAGAGAGGACCAATTTTGACTGCGCCCCTCTACCTGTTTCACAGTAGACAAAACTGTAAATATCCACAACACTCAGTAAAACATTTGGATGCTACGTAGAAGCTTATATCCATAAAAAGCTGAAGCAGAGACTTCCAAGTTTCATGAAAGTCTGTTACTGAGTTGGGCAGACATCTTTGCAGTACTTACTGCATTTACCTGGATAAGTGCGTTTGCCATTTGCTCTGCCAGGTATGGTCTGACACAAAACTTGCTAACACGCCAGTGGCAGAATAGTTGCACAAACAAAACCACACAATCACACTGGAGGCAAACACCATTAAGTCTCGGTTATCTAGGTCAAATACACCTCAACTGGCTCGGAAATAAGCCAGTTCAGGTCCAGCAGGGCTTATGAGCTCAGGTACAGTACAAGGAATGAAGCTATATGGCTGCCAGCCCAGCTCAGCCCTACAGCAAGTTAGCTAAATCTTTTTGCTTTAATAGAGCTCCCAAGTTAACAGGCCTGATCTGGCGACAGACACCTGAGAGAGAGTTGTCTGAACCAAGCTCAGGACTCCCCAGCTGGGCAAGCCCTCACATAATTGTCTGTGTTCTCCTGCCAAGCACAGTGATCCTAGCTCTGGCAGATGGACAGCACAGAATACAAGTTTACAGACTAAACAGCATTACAAAACTGTAACATTTCAAACACAGATGTTTTCTTGAGAGAGGTGCCAAGAACAAGAGCACCTCAAAAGGTGCAGATAGTATTGCTTATAACTTATTAGATGTGTTTAGCATTACAAATAAGCATGGAAAATTAACAAAGAGCATCTTTTACCTTTCTTGCTGCTATGTTTTTCTTCATTCTGTGCTACAGAAAGACATAATGCTTCCTTCTGATTAGAGAAGCTTTCTGCTTCTTCAGGAGTATTATGCTGGCCACTGAGTCTTCTCTTCTTTGTCAGCGGTTCTTCCCCCTCAGATTTCATACTGGGGTTAGGTAGGTGAAAGCAGGAACTCTGCACGAAGTTATCAAGCTGCCAGTTAGAGTTCTGAAAATGTCTCCAAGGTCCAAAAAATGGAGGGACTCTCCAGTTTGCTGAGAAGTCAACTGGAACAGGAAGTGGAAACGAGGCCCAGGGACAGTATCCGGCCCATCTCACACAGTTGGGAACCGGGCTGTTGAAGGCAAGTATCTGAGAACCGTTCCAGTGGGCGATGCAGTCTCTGCCCAGCCTCTGCACCTGACGGGGCAGCATGGAGTGTCTACCAAAGAAAGCACAGGTTTCATTACTTACACACTTCCCCAGCCACCCATAGTGGACTGTGGATGCAAGTCATCCTGGTCATGACACATACAAGATATTCTTTCTTCACAAGTAAACACATCCAAGATAGTAAAACCTTTTTAGACACACAAAAGACATTTAAATCTTTATCTAAATGTGGGACTTTACACATCAATCTTTTTTTCGCCCTTCAGATTTACAAACGCCATTTAACTTTCAAACTGTATCCACTTGAATAACTACTTAGAATTTCTTTTCTGCCCTGTTGGATTCAACTACCAGATCCTTCACGTGCTCAGTGTAACGACCTTTGCAAAAGGTCATTTTTGCATGCTGTATTAACCTTATAGTAAGGCTATCTGAAAGGAATCAGAAAACCGCTTTCCTTCACGCAGTCAAAAAGCTGCTCAAAAAGCCATTGACTTGGCTCAAACCACAATGCCAACAAGACAGGGAAACAGACGTGCTAACCCTCGCACCATCTCTGGCACTAGTTTGTAGAGTAAATTTGCATTCTTATTTGTGGGAAAACTGCAGTTTAGTGATTACAGTCATGAAAATAAGGGGTTTTTTCTTTTTTTTTTTAAGAACAAAAATCAAATCAAACCTGAGTCTCAACAGAAACGCAGGAAGGAAGGCTGAGTGACAGCAATCTGTCTCAGCTTCCTCATTGTTTAAATAAGGAGGCGTATTTTGAGCTTACAAACAAAAGACATCAGACCTTGGTGCGCCTGAAGTTGACCTGAAGCGAGCAGCTGCTCGCTGCCGCTCGGCCCAGCGAATAAATCCAAATACAACTTTCGGGAAAAACCAGCCTGTCCTGAAACAGCACTTTAGGCCGCGGGCACCGCAAGCAGCCGGACAGGACACACCAACACAACAGCCCCCAGGGCACCAGGGCTTTTGGGACAGACCTGAGGGGGGGGAGGGCACATCTCCTCTGCAAAGACCTCCCGGAAACACGCGTTTTAAGGAAAAAGGCAGGGAAAGGCTGCCTTCTTTTTAGGAAGCCCCAGGCGAGCGCTTCCCCACACAAACACCTACAGCCGGCAAAGGAAAAGCCCGCGCCGTGTTTTTGTTTACCGCGGCCCTGCTGTGCCTAATGGCGGGTATTTAAAACGAGCGACTGCCAGTCTCCCCCCGGCCGGGCCAGGGGCTCCGTTTCGGCGGCCAGGCCGCTCCCCGGCCCCACCATTAGTGCGCGGTTCCCCCGGCACAGGCCGCCCCAACCTCCCCGGGGACCAGGGCCGGCTGCCGCCCCACAGCCCCTCGACCCGGCCGAGGCCCGGCACCCCCTTCCCGAACCCCCGCTTACCTGCCGGCGGGCCCGGGTGCGGGCCCGGCCCAGGGGGGCCCCGTTACCGGCTCCGCGCAGCCCCGGCACCCCCAAAGGGGGTCATTCCAGGGCAGCGCCAGCTCCGCCCGCCGCTGCCGGCCGACCCGCCGCTTACCTCGCAGGGGCGGCGGCGGCGGCGCGCCCTGCGCCCGCTGGCTCCTGGGACTTGTAGTCCGAGGGCCGGTGCCGCCCCGCCGGAGCCGGGGTTGATGCGGGCGGGAGGCCGGCGCCGAAGCCAGGCCGCCATCTTAGGCCAGGGCGCCGGTGGGGATGGCTCGGACAGAGCCCGGCCAAAGCCGGTGAAGGTGGCTTGATTTCAGGCTTGTGGTTCTTTTAGATGGATGTAGCGCAGTTCCAATGGAGTAGTTTCCATATGCGGTCTTCTCCTTGAGATTACTGTCTGTCCCCGTAGGGTCTTAAAAGCCTCTCGGGAAGAGCTGCCGTCTGTTTCAAGGTGCCGTTTCAGGGCAGCAGCACCACGTTTACCATCTGCAGAAAAACAAAGCCCACTCACCTGAGGCAGAACTTTAACATTCGCAGGGTAAAACACAGCCGAAGAGGCTCTGCGGAGCGAGGGTGGCCCCGAGGAGGCTGAGGAGAGCTGCAGGCCCCGGGGAACCGACCCACCCCTGCCCACAGCTGCATCAACAACCCTCTCCCGCTCTTAGTCTGTGATGCTTGAATAAGCAGTTGAAACGCTTTCTTGAGGTCTTCTGAGGACAGAGTAAATGCTGGCTCCGTTTCCTGTACGGAAACGTAGTACAAAGCGTATGAAATATGATAGTGCTGAATAGCGCAGATGCTGCGCAGGAACTGTAATCAGCTAAAATACTGTTCCTCTGCGTGCCTTTTACTGGTTTGATGCAAGTGACTTTAAATAAACAATATTTCCCAAGTTTTCCCAGGAGAGGGAGGGGAGACTGAAACAAATAATGCAGTTATGTTCAGAGTGTGCTAGTTAGGCAACGTGTCAAATCCTCTTTGGGTCTTTACTTCTTGAACACAGCTTAAGGGCCAAAGGTGAAAATGTCCATCCATTTTCTATTTAGTTTCTTCACAACGTAATAACAGAGCAAATTTACAAACTCCATAATAATACATGGGTAGTAAAAGATGCCCCAATTATATTTTCTGGACCTATGTTATTTTGGCAATTTGCTCCTTTCTGTATTTTTGAAGTATTCTTAGATATATTTCTAAGATAGAAGACAGAAAGCTATAGGTACAGTAACAGCAACAACTGCTGTTATTTTTAGGAGCAGAGGGAATCTTCCCTTGGAATGCAGTTGTTTTCTGCATTTTGGCTGCATAAGACACCCAAGTTACTCTGTCGCTTTAAAGGTTTTTACATAACAGTAATCTCAGTAGTGATGCTGGAAAAAGGGAGGGGCTGAAGCTTTGTGTATTTTTTTAAGATAAACCTTAAGGAAAAGGAAGATATGCTGATAAGCATAAAAGTTAATTATGTAACAGAAAATAGAAGATGAGTAAAAGATTAATATGATGCAGATTGTTTCTTTTCTCAATTTTATTATTATTTCTTGCCTTGACCTAGGAAAGTTAACAAGCCAGATTGTTTACCCTCCTCTAACTATTATTTTGTATATCTAGGTTGGCTGTACAATATTAAGAGATATTTGGAGATAACCAAATTATCTCCAAATTCTGATTTGTAACTAGAAGCCAAGCATGAGTCATTTGAGCTTTTGAAACTCCTCAGTGAATGGAGGCTACTGACTCACTGAGGGATGTTTTAATTTATTATATTGCATATAAGAACAGCCATGCTGGTTCAGATCAATGGTCCACTGAGCTCAGTTTCCTGCTTTCTAAAAGCGGTGAGCAGCAAATGCTTAGAAATGTGCAGGGGCTGGGAAACTTCAAATGAATTCTCTCCCTGCCTCTAGCTGTTTTCAGCTCAGCAGATTCCTAAGCCTGATGTGTTTGTTTCTTTAGTTAACCCTCAGTGACTCCCTCTCCCCCAGGTACTTGAATTTGCAAACTTTCTGCATCAGCAACATCCTTTGACAAGAGTCCTACAGTTCTAGCACTCATGTGAGGAACGATTTTATTATTATTAATTTTGTGACCTCATTCCTACCAGCTTTACTGGCCTCTGGTTCTTCTGTTAAGAGAGACTGAACAGTCCATCTCCTCCATGCCATTCATGATTTCATGGACTACCACATCTCCTCACGTTATTCCTTCTTCCATGCTGAAAAGTCTAAGACTACTCCATTGTTATACATGGGAAAGCTATTCCATGTATCTGGTCATCCTTATTGTTCTTCTTGGTTCAGCTATGGAGTTATACAGTTGTAATATACCCTTCTCTATTTTGTTCTCTACTCCTACTGCTCCCTCCTCCTCCCACCAGACTGCAAGCTTTTGAGTTAGGCAGCATGTCAAGATGGAATTTTTTCCTCGGAAGATGCATGAGTTAGCTATTGAAATTTAAATGAGATCTATTATGTAATTCATCAGGGATTAGTCAACGATGGCTTCAGTCCTGTTGATTTCTATTTATACCACTAAACCCTCAAAACTACCACATCTTGTACGTTATAAGCAAGTGCTGCTTCATAAGCAAACATATACCAGAACTGGTTGTCTAATCATGTTATGACACTAGAGGCTTATATGAGCTGCATGATGTATCACATAATTAGTATACCATGCTAGAAAATGTTCCATGTTTTCTTCAGCAAGTGTATTTTCAACCAGTTGTTTGTGTTTTAGATGTGACACCACCACATCTGAGTAGCTGCAAGTTTTCTATAGCTAAAATTAGAGAAGATGGGAGTAAAAAACTATCCTCAAGATCATGCTGTGTAACCCCTCTGGTAGCCAGGTTGGAATTCCCATTATAATAAGGTAAGAACTGAGTGAGGGCAGTGTCCAAATTAAGAGTAACAGTAATTTTGTAATCACTAGGAATAATGATAGGACGAGGAGTAACAGTGTTAAACTGAAAAAGGTTAGATTTAGATTAGATGTTAGGAAGAAATTCTTTACTCTGAGGGTGGTGAGACACTGGAACATGTTCCCCGGGGAAGTGGTGGGTGCCCCGTCCCTGGAAGTGTTCAAGACCAGATGGGATGGGGCTTTCAGCAACCCGATCTAATGGAACACTAGATCAGGTTGGAACTAGATGGTCTTTAAGGTGCTTTCCAACCCAACCCATTCTATGATTCTATGATAATAAGGAAGAGGTGAAACTGGCAGTGCTGCCAAACAGCAACACATTGAAACTGCCTAGAAGGACTCAAAGGTGAGCTTGTTCTTCCAGGTCTGTAGAAGCGAATCTGATCAGGAACTCAGAAAATGAATGTGTTTATAGAAGAAGAGTTTTATGTAGCCATAATTGGAAATGTTGTAAAGATTCACGATGCAGTTCACTCATCCTCTAAGGAGACACTTGTTTACTATTAGCTTCAGGACAAGACCCTTTCATCTTTTACAAAGAAATGCAATTAAGTATTTTTCTTTATGTCAAAGACCTGCATGAGATCAGAGATATTAATAACCTGGTAATGAAAAGCTGTTTTTCTTAACATCCGCTATTAAATGAATGAAAACACAGGAAAGAAAGTAATCATAGCAGTTCATATAACCTGAAGTGTGACCTGTATTTCACAGAATTTCACTGTATTTGCACAGATCTTGGCTGGTATCGATCCCACTAGGGCCCAGTGACTGAAGGTACCTGTGCTCTTCCGAACCGGTGATGGTAGGAGGCCGTGCAGCCCCAGGTCGTGCTCCTTCGGACCGAAGCCGTGCGCCTCGAGCCCCTGGAGAGTTTGCTGGCACCAAAGCTTCTGGCAGCCCCGAGATGGAGAACCTGCCTGAGGCACCAAGCGTCGCCGCAATTCAGTAGCTATCGCACTTGCCTTGCTGTATAACATTCCTCTTCAAAATCCGGGAGTCGTTTCTGCCTTACAGGCCTTTAGGTTTAGGGCAGCATATCTTAAAGTAGCCCATGGCGACCGCTGGAAGTGGTGTACCGGCTCCGTCACTGGAAGCTCTTGTAGAAGCCATGGGGAGCTTGTACTTGTGGTCCCTCACAGCCCTGCCCCGGCAGGACACCTGGACGGGAACCGGGCTGCCTGGGTGATTTCACTGTGACACCTTGGCCTCATCCACGCCACCGCAGGCTTTCAGGCTCCCGAAAGAGGCGGCCACATCCCAGTCGCCTGTCAGGAACCGGGGGTACTCAAAACCCGCGGCTGGAAGCGGTGCGGGAGAGAGGGCGGGAGAGACGGAGAGGGCCCGGCCGGGCCGGGGGCCATCCAGCACCCAGCGGCTGCCGTGCCTGGGCCCGGCTCCAAGCCGGCCGCCAAAGCTCCGGGGAAACACCCGGGCGTCCCCTCACGGCGGCGGGG